CAAACGAGAGATTAAAATAAATCTGATGGAGTGGGTATGAGAGTGTTTGTGAGTGTGTGTGGTTTTTTTTTTATATTTACACAAATAAACCTCACTGAGAGTGTTTATTTACATTAGTTTAGATCCCCAGAAGCACCTGCTCAGATGTGTCCATGTTCACTAAAAGATATATAGAGAACAGAAATATAAGGTGGGTTTAGTCCAATTGACCATTCTGTCCACATCTTCCTTTTGTAGATAAGCGGGAGGCTGTTGCATGGACCATGATGATGATGAATATTTAGAACAAAATGAATTGTAAAAGCATAAACTACGTCTTCATAGGAGTTGCAATACCTGTACATTAATGAAAACCTAAATATGTCCTTTTATCTGCTTATAACTACATCATAATTGTGTTAACATCAAATGTTTATTACATGGCTTATAAATGGTAAGTCCTGGGTTCAACTATGTGGATGTTAATGCAAAAATAAATGTCATAACCACAAATATATCGAACCTACTCGAGTCAGTGTTGCTATGAAACCACAAAGAATAACACAGTGGATCTGTATCAGCCACTTGATGCTCGTAACTTTTCCTTTTTTTTTTTTTAAACACTCTAGATTTATGGACATATCCTGAAAGATGATGTTTCACAGAAATGTGTTTATTACATGTAACTAAACTTAAACCTAAGTGATATCGGTGAGTAATGTACATTTCTGGGAAATTAAAGTGTGTATTATGTAAATGATGTTAGTAAAGCAGAACAGTGTGTTTATTCAATGATGTCTAAATTGAAGATGTGATAACACCACTGAATGATGTTTTTTGTTTTGTTTTTTTTTTTTATCTTATAGGGAAATGTCTTTTCTCCACATCATAATTCAAGTGTTAGCAATTTACTTTCCTTTTAACCACCAGCAGAAACACAGGGGGAGTATTTTTCTGGAGCGAGAGAGTTACAGGTAAGTTCATGTGCGGCTAGGCTGACAACCCAACCATGCTCTCCTCGTGGCTCTGCAGGGTTCAGGACTTCACTCATCAACAAGTGATGTAGACCAGAGTGAGAAGGGAGGGAAATATCTTACACAGCATGTTGTGTGTTTCTGACGAGTAAACAATCCTCACCTCTACTAGATTATTGCGTTCACCATATAAGGTTTTTAAAATTCTTACAAACTATTATAACAACAAATTCTATTTTTTTTTTTTATTGTTTTTTTTTTGCCGCCAGTGTTGCAGATGTCACTTCTTACCTGGGGGAACCTGCTCTATGTCCGCAGAAAGATTTGCTGATTGCGGGGAGACTGAGGTGGAGCGTTGGTAATCCACCAGCTCGTTGAGGAGGTTAACTTCACCACCCATTAGAAAATACTTTCCAGCCCCATCGCGAAGAACCTTGAAAGTGCTGGACGTGCATTTCCAAACCTGCAGAAGGTCAAAGAAAACACAAAACCTATCAGGAAGAGTTGTAATGGGAGGCAGTGCACAGATTTAAATATACTTGAGGGGTCACTGCACACATCACCTCCTTATCAAACAGGTGTGTCTGTGATAGATCTGGTAAGGTTTAGTCAAATGAATCAGTCATGCTGCAGTAACAGACTGAACATTCAATACTAGCTGCCTAATGGAGCCAGGGACAGTTCCAGACAGTAATTAAGATCCATAATCTTAGCACCAATTTTACGTGTAACCTGCTGTGAACTGATGAGTCTTTTGGGAAGGTCAGACTGGAGCAGACAAATAAGAGGAATGAGCTCTGTCTGTGTCAGCTAAAAAAACTAAGTATCCAGGGCTGAATCTCCAACACTTGCAGAAAGACAGTGGTCACCAGAGGGCAGCACTGAGACGTATCACGAGAATAAGGAAGTGGCTGTGCAATGACTCAGACACACTGAGTATGGAAACTTATGACTGATAAGTTGTGGAAAACTGTCCAATGATGTAAGTTTAATGTTAATACGAAAACAGATGTGAGTGTGAGTCATGTTTTTTGTGTTTTCTTTCTCTGAGTGATACACCGGTTCGGTTCTACTTACTCACAGAGAGGGAGAAGTCCCTTGGGCACTCTCGCTCTCTCTGATGAGGAAGGCCCCATCGTGCCTCTGTTTGTTTAGCATCTTCCTCCGCTTTGGCGCGGGGAATTCCGAAGACCACCTGGAAGACAAACAGAACAGGTGCAGGTGAGATCTGAGTCAATGGAGTCCACAGAACACTCTACTTAGTGAGTATAATGAAGGGGAGACACTGTCTGCACGATTAGAAGTGTCAGACAGTGCTACGACAGTCTATCTTTCTTTTATGTTGCTCATTTGTACTCAGTGTGGAGGCGGAGCCCTGGTGCAGGCATGGTTTGAAGGCTTTCAACACTGGTCATTGGCTAACACCAATAAAACAACCACAGACCCTCCACATTCTCACCTACGAGCAGTGTGAAAGTTTGTACAGAGCGTGAGGAAAACCCAGAGAGGACAGTGTGAACATCACGCAAACATCACACACATATCCACATCCGGCTGTCTACAGCTTTGAGCTGAGGAGAAAACAGTGAGGACAGCGCTGACCACTGATCCACCGAGCCACACGAGCCACCGCCAGGCGGCGACAGTCAAAGAGCCAAATTATACAAGGAACTAGATGTGGTGAGCATTAGACTCAGACTGTCTCTTCAGCCCTATAAACCTTCCATCCACACACCAGAAGTTAGGAAAAAGTTACACAAGCCTGGGACAATCCTCCGAAGCTGCAGTGACCATCGCGCAATAACCATGGAAGCACAGATGAGGTCATTACCTTGTAATAGTGTGGCAAAAAAAGGCTTGTTTTACAGTTCTCCTAATGTGAACTCCACAAGCATCTGGTGTTTCAAAATCTATAAGTTGAGAAGTACTAACTAAAAACAAAAACATCTTAAATATTACAGCAGGGCAAGTTTATAATTATCTTTAAGTGGCTATATATCTTATTTTAGTTGCATTATGCTACTAATACATCAGTGAGAAAGCCCTGACAGAGAGAATAAGTGAGTATAAAGATGGAAAGGAAAGCACGGAGTTGAAAGCGAGGTGGAAGCTCTTCAATTGTGTAATAATTAAAAGTAATACATATAAGATGACATCTTGGTCTTATTACATGTAGCCTAGGTAAATATATCATAATATAATGGCCAACTCTTAATTCTGGTTGTTATCTTGGTGCTTGGCAGCACAGCAAACCTGCGCACCTGAAATCTCTTCCCTGTTTGATAAAAGTGATAGCGGAGCAATTAATGGAGCCAAGGAAACGACTGGGATTAATGTCAGTCACACTCTGTCCCTGTGAGTGGAGTGCTCCAAGCATTCATCCTGTTGTACCACTCTTACTCTTTGATTGTCACACAGACGCAAGAAGCATCAGCCACTGAAACACAGTCGCGTGTTGGGAAGGCTCTGTGTGGAAACAGAGAGGACTTGGAGCAGAGCAGGCTGTATTGTGGCGCTGGTGTATAGCACAGCTATGTGTGTCATGTCTGCTGCGGTTGTGTGGGTGCCTGGCGCTTTCGGGTGGCACTTCATTGTCACACAAATGGGAGACAAAGGCACTCTCTGCCACAACATAGTGCCCCACTACCACCCACGGTATCTCCTCCATTACTTGGTGGGACAGTTTCCCGTCAAGCGCAATTTTACAGGAAACCTACTTTCTAACAAAAAAAAAAAAAAAAAACTTTAAACTACATGTTGCATCATATGGAAATGCACCAGATTTTCTATTACTGCACCAACAATCGTACTGACTCAAATCAGACTGAAAAGTGGGCTGACAAAAAAACACATTTCCCGAAAACTCTTTACTGATGACGTCCAAGGAGGCAGCAACTCTCTCCACAGAGCTTTACAACTGAGCCTATCAGGACCAGCAACATGACACACTTAGACAATCTCTCGCAACCACTGAGCAAAGATGAATTAGCCTTACTGGTAATATAGACCTGCAGGCTAATTTCACAATAAAAGCAGGCTATTCAAATTTGAAAGCTTTGACTATTAAAAGCAGATAAGTTTTGACAACAGCCCTACTTAACATTTTTTTCCTTCTGATCTGCTGATATGTTAACATACACACAAGAAGAGATATCAACACACAATAATACGTTTTTAATAGTTGAGTATGAAACGCCTACTAATTGAACAAGTTGCTTAGATTAGTTCTGATGAGTGTGTTTCACAGCTGCTCTGCCTGTTTGTCAGCTCATATGAGCAATACATAACCTGCAGTTTTGTTTTGTTTTTTAAAAGGCAAACCACAAAAGCCACACCACAGAGCCCTCAAGTAGAGGGAGGTGGGGGTGTTGTTTTGTCGTTTGGCCCCAGCCTGGACAGATGAGTGTAAGTGATTAGTGTTGGACACACACACAAACACACACACACACACACACACACACACACACACACACACACACACACACACACACACCACACACACACACACACACACACACACAGCACACACACACACACACACACACACACACACACACACACACAAACACAACACACACACAAACACACACACATCACACACACAAACAGAGTCAATGACCTTATTATGTGCATTGCTACCACACAGCCAGACCTTTGTGTGTTTCTGTGTGTATATGTTTTTCTATGCTTGTGAGAACATTATGGCCGGTCCTCGTAACCTCAAAGAGCTTTCTGAGGGTTAAGACTTGGTTTCAGGTATGAAGTTAAGCTTGTACGCAAGTCTGTGTGTGTGTGTGTGTGTGTGTGTGTGTGTGTGTGTCCAACACTAACCTTACACTCATCTCTGTCCAGGCTGGGGCCAAACGACAAAACAACACCCCCACCTCCCTCTACTTGGGGCTTGTGTGCTTGGTTGTGGTTTTGCCTTTTAAAAAACAAAACAAAACTGCATTATGTATTTGCTCATTATGAGCTGACAAACAGGCAGAGCAGCTGTGAAACACACTCATCAGAACTAATCGAGCAACTTGTTCCAATTAGTGCGTTTATACTCAACTATTAAAAACGTATTATTGTGTTTTGATCTCTTTCTTGTGTGTATGTTAACATATCAGCAGAGTCAGAGGAAAAAATGTTAAGTAGGGCTGTTGTCAAAACTTATCTGCTTTTAATAGTCAAAGCTTTCAAATTTGATAGCCTGCTTTTATTGTGAAATAGCCTGCAGGTCATATTACCAGTAAGGCTAATTCCATCTTTGCCTTCAGTGGTTGCGAGAGATTGTCTAATGTGTCATGTTGCTGGTCCTGATAGGCTCAGTTGTAAAGCTCTGTGGAGCAGAGTTGCTGCCTCCTTGGACGTCATCAGTAAAGTAGTTTTTCGGGAAATGTGTTTTTTTGTCAGCCCACTTTTCAGTCTGATTTGAGTCAGACGATTGTTGGTGCAGTAGAAAAATCTGGTGCATTTCCATATGATGCAACATGTGTTAATAGTTTTTTTTTTTTTTTTTTTGTTAGAAAGTAGGTTTCCTGTAAAATTGCGCTTGACGGAAACTGTCCCACACAGTAATGGAGGAGATACAGTGGGTGATGGGGCCATGTTGTGGCAGGAGTTTGCCTTTGTCTCCCATTGTGGTGACAATGAAGTGCCACCCGAAAGCGCCAGGCACCCACACAACCCAGCAGACATGCACACATAGCTGTGCTATACACCAGCGCACAATACAGCCTGGCTCTGCTCCAAGTCCTCTCTGTTTCCACACAGAGCCTTTCCCCAACAGCGACTGTGTTTCAGTGGCTGATGCTTCGGTCTGTGTGACAATCCAAGAGTAAGAGTGGTACAACAGGATGAATGCTTGGAGCACTCCACCTCACAGGGACAGAGTGTGACTGACATTAATCCCAGTCGTTTCCTTGGCTCCATTAATTGCTCCGCTATCACTTTTATCAAACAGGGAAAGAGATTCAGTGCGCAGGTTTGCTGTGCTGCCAAGCCCAGATACAAACCAGATTAAGAGTTGGCCATTTCATTATTGATTTTCACCTAGGCTACATGTAAAGGAGCCAAGATGTCATCTTTTGGCTGACTGTACTTTTTAATTATTTACACAAGTGAAGAGCTTCCACTCGCTTTCACTCGATGCTTTCTCTTCCATCTTTATCACTCACTTATTCTCTCTGTCAGGGCTTTCTCACTGATGTATTAGTAGCATATATGCAACTAAAAATAAATACATGCCACTTAAAAGATAATTATAAACTTGCCTGCTGTAATATTTAAGATGTTTTTGTTTTAAAGTTAATACTTCTCAACTTATAGATTTTGAAACACAGATGCTCTGGAGTTCACATTAGGAGAACTGTAAAACAAGCCTTTTTTTGCCACTATTACAAGGTAATGACCTCATCTGCTTCCTGGTATGCGGATGGTCACTGCAGCTTCGGAGGATTGTCCCAGGCTTGTGTAACTTTTTCCTAACTTCCTGGTGTGTGGATGGAAGGTTTATAGGGCTGAAGGACAGTCTGAGTTAATGCTCAACCACATCTAGTTCCTTGTATAATTTGGCTCTTTGACTGTCGCCCCTGGGTGGCTCGGTGGCTCGGTGGATCAGTGGTCAGCGCTGTCCTCACTGTTTTCTCCTCAGCTCAAAGCTGTCAAGACAGCCGGATGTGTGATATGTGTGTGATGTTTGCGTGATGTTCACACTGTCCTCTCTGGGTTTCCTCACGCTCTGTACAAACTTTCACACTGCTCGTAGGTGAGAATGTGAGTGTCTGTGGTTGTTTATTGGTGTTAGCCAATGACCAGTGTTGAAAGCCTTCAACATGCTGCACAGGGCTCCCCCTCCACACTGAGTACAATGAGCAACATAAAAGAAAGATGGACTGTCGTAGCACTGTCTGACACTTCTAAATCGTCAGACAGTGTCTCCCCTTCATTATACTCACTAAGTAAGAGTGTTCCTGTGGACTCCATTGACTCAGATCTCACCTGCACCTGTTCTGTTTGTCTTCCAGGTGGTTCTTCGGGAAGATTCCCCGCGCCAAAGCAGAGGAGATGCTAAACAAACAGAGGCACGATGGGGCCTTCCTCATCAGAGAGAGCGAGAGTGCACCAGGGGACTTCTCCCTCTCTGTGAAGTAAGTAGAACCGAACCGGTGTATCACTCAGAAAGAAAAACACAAAAAACATGACTCACACTCACATTGTTTTCTATAACATTAAACTTACATCATTGGACAGTTTCCACAACTGATCAGGTTCATAAGTTTCCATACTCAGTGTGTCTGAGTCATTAGCACAGCCACTTCCTTATTCTCGTGAAGTCTCAGTGCTGCCCTCTGGTGACCACTGTTTCTCTGAGTGTTGGAGATCAGCCCTGTGAGTACTTAGTTTTTTAGCTGACACAGACAGAGCTCATTTCCTCTTATTTGTCTGGCTCCAGTCTGACCTTCCCAAAAGACTCATCAGTTCACAGCAGGTTACATGTAAAGTTGGTGCTAAGATATGGATCTTAATTACTGTCTGGACTGTCCTGGCTCCACTTAGGCAGCTAGTATTGAATGTCAGTCTGTTACTGGCATGACTGATTCATTTGACTAACACTTACCAGACTATCACAGACACACCTGTTTGATAAGTGAGGTGTGTGAGTGACCCACTGCAGTTATTTAAATCTGTGCACTGCCTCCCATACAACTCTGTCCTGATAGTTTTGTGTTTTCTGTGACCTTCTGCAGGTTTGGAAATGACGTCCAGCACTTCAAGGTTCTTCGCGATGGGGCTGGAAAGTATTTCCTATGGGTGGTGAAGTTTAACTCCCTCAACGAGCTGGTGGATTACCACCGCTCCACCTCAGTCTCCCGCAATCAGCAAATCTTTCTGCGAGACATAGAGCAGGTCCCCCAGGTAAGAAGTGACATCTGCAACACTGGGCAAAAAAAAAACAATAAAAAAAAAAAAATGGAAATATGTTGTTATATAGTTTGTTAAAGATTTAAAACCTAATGGTGAACGTATATAATCTATGTAGAGGTGAAGGATTGTTTAACTCGTCAGAAACACACATGCTCGTGTAGATATTCTCCCTCCCTTCTCACTCTGGTCTACATCACTTGTTGATGAGTGAAGTCCTGAACCCTGCAGAGCCAGAGAGAGCATGTTGGTTGTCAGCCTAACCGCACATGAACTTACTGTAGCAATGTTGTCTGCAGAAATACTCCCCCTGGTTTCTGCTGGTGGTTAAAAAGAAAGTAAATTGCTAACACTTGAATTATGATGTGGGAGAAAGAGACTTTCCCTTAAGATAAAAAAAAAACAAAACAAAAAACATCATTCAGTGTGTTATCACATCTTCAATTAGACATCATTGAATAACACACTGTTCTGCTTTTCTAACAGTCATTTACATATCACACTTTAATTTCCCAGAAATGTACATTACTCACATTCCTTAGTTTAAGTTTAGTTACATGTAATAAACACATTTCTGTGAAACATATCTTCAGGATATGTCCATAAATCCTGAGTGTTTAAAAAAAAAAAAGGAAAAGTTACAGCATCAAGTGGCTGATACAGATCCACTGTGTTATTCTTTGTGGTTTCATAGCAACACTGACTCAGTAGGTTGATATTTGTGGTTATGACATTTATTTTTGCATTAACATCACACATAGTTGAACCCAGGACTTACCATTTATAAGCCATGTAATAAACATTTGATGTTAACACATTATAATGTAGTTATAAGCAGATAAAAGGACATATTTAGGTTTTCATTAATGTACAGTATTCAACTTCTCCTATGAAGATGTAGTTTATGCTTTTACAACTTCATTTTGTTCTAAATTATTATTCATCATCATCTGTCCATGCAACAGCCTCCGCTTATCTACAAAAGGAGATGTGGACAAATGCATTGATAAACACTTATATATTTCTGTCTTATATCTTTTAGTGAGTGGACACATCTGACAGGTGTTTGGAGATCTAAACTAATGTAAATAAACAGGTTGGAGTGAGGTTTATTTGTGTAAATATTAAAAAAAACACACACACACACTGGCTCCTCCACCCATGCAGCATTTATTTACAGCTGTGCTTTGATACGTGTGAGTCTGGACGTCAACTTGAGCAAACAGTAGGAGGAAGAGAAAAGAGAGTATTTCTGAAATCACTTTGGTTGCGGCAAATTTGCAGCTTGCAGGTCAAGACAGGAAATGCAACCAAAAACCACTCCGAGAATAAAGAGATGAGAAGAAGTCGCAGGTGGAGCGGTGAGAGGGGAAGAGAGACGGTGATAGAGAGCTAACGAGAGAGGAAAGTCTGTATATATATATAAGAGAGATAGAAACTATAAAGGTTTTGATGATGTCATGTAGCAGGATGCAGCGCTGCTGTTTTAATCTTCGAGGTTGAGTACGATCGAGATTTGTGAGCAACCAGTGAAATTACTTTGGTTTCCTGATTGAAATTTCATCAGGTTTTTGTCCCCTGTAAGTTCGATATTATCCTTCATGTAATGAACAAATCTGAAAGCTGCAGCGTCATTCTCTGAAGTAGACAAGTGGTGAAACAATTGCAGACATGAAAAACAGCTACTGACAGCTACTCACAACACGCTTCAAAACCAAAGGAGTGAGTTTGATGACGTACATCAAGGTTTTGCGCAGGGACTGGTGTGATCGGTCAAGTTTGCGGGAAAGTTGCGATGATTGCGACATTCTGGAGGGACTGATAATGTCACTTTAACCAAAGTCACCATCAAGTCAGAAATCAGTTGTGAATGTTTCACAGTTGTTATGTTTGTCGTGTCGCTTTGCTAACCCGTTGTTATCATCACTAACACGTCTTCTCCCTTTCTGTTGATCGCGCAGCATCCCACGTACGTGCAGGCGCTCTTTGACTTTGACCCCCAGGAGGAAGGAGAGCTGGGTTTCCGACGCGGCGACTTCATCCAAGTCCTCGACAACTCTGACCCCAACTGGTGGAAAGGAGGCTGCCACGGCCAAACGGGCATGTTCCCCCGCAACTACGTCACGCCTGTCAATCGGAACATGTAAACAGTCAGACCATGTAAACAAGAACAACAACCACAACACAGCAACCATCACCACCACCACCACAACCACAACCACCATCATCATCATCATCATCGTTCTTCATCAGCCCCCAATCCGACCCGACCCCCCCACCCCCCCCCCCCCTCTTACCTCTCTCTCCCCCAAACAACCCCTCCACCCCCTTTCGGCCATTCCACGATAACAGGAGCAGACAGGAAGAACGCAAACAACTGAAAGAGAGAGAGTTAAAGCAGGAGTAGTGCTGTCGTAGGCGTCGCTGTGTGGGTGCCAGCTGAGCAAAAAAAAAATAAAATGGAAAAAAAAAATAAAAAAAATCAACTTTTACTTGTGCTGAGAACGTTCACCGCCCCAGTGAACGCCTCGGCGAGGATTGAACTGTCTTTGAGGGAAATCTAAATGCAGAGAAACTAAAGCGTAGAGCACCAACCATGAAGATAACCAAATGATTCTACCGCTCCCACAGCTGCTTCTGTCTTCTCCTAAACTTCTTAACATTCTGCCTTTCTTTTATTTTCCTTTTTTTTTCTTCTTCTTCTTCTTTTGCCGCATGTTGTTTTAATCTCCTAAATGAAATGCCTACCAATAAATCCCTAACTCTGTTTTAAAGAAAAAAAATAAAAATTTAAAAACATAAAAAAGAAGAAATGGTTTTAAAAATGTACAAAAAAAAAAAAAAAAAAGAAGAGAGGAAAGAAATGATGCCATCTACAGTAATCTACAGAAAGTTTCCATGTTTAAGTTCATTGGCACGTGAGCAGTGTACATCAGCCATTGGCTGTATAAATAAATCAACTATAGAGAGAATCCATTTTTTAAGAATATATATTATATATTTGTATGTGTTTGTCTGTTTTACCTCTCATCACAAATTGTGTTTTTTTCCATTTGTAAATTATGTTCAATCCTTGTGAGTTTGAATAAGACCTGGTAGCTCTAGAATGTGCTGAATTGTCAATTAAGTTTTTCTTTTATTTTTATTTTTTTCTGAGTCTATCTGAGGGCTCTCAGATAAAACAGCATGATATTTAAGGGGTCATCAGTTCCATTTGAAAAGGTTTCTCTTGTCTATAATGCAATGAAAGTAAAAGTTAATGAGAAGAAACCTGAGAAGAAACTAATCCTGTCAGGAAGCTAACGTTGACCAGCAAGTAGAGCCATGAATGCTGCAAGAGCTGTTGTATTACGAAGCCCCTGTATAAAGGTCAGCCACCTTTTCAAAGCCAATGTATTTATTGCAGCCATTTTACTTGGGCGATGAATGTAGCTGACTGAGTCCATAGACATTAACATGAGGGAAGCAAGGTCAGAGAACTGAACTACACAACCACGCAAGGGATTTTAAAAGACATGCTGAAATAGTAATGTTGCGGATTATTCACTTAAAAAAGAAAGAGAGTGGTGTATGAGGATATGTACAGGTAGTTAACATGCATATTCAAACACATTCATTACATGCATGCATACGCAGACGCTCTCCTCCTTGTTATACCTGCACGTAGCAAAGAGGCTGAGTTTGGATAATCACATTGTGTAATCACCAGTGCAGATCTGCAGCTGGCACAGATTAACAGTCCAGAAAACTGAGAGATTGTCTTTTATGCTAAAAGTTGAGAGATCAGCTTAAATGATGTAAAAGATTTTGTTTGTTTTTTTTCCTTTTTTATTTTGTTTTTTTTTTTTGTTTGTGTTTTTTTTATCTTTGTCCAATGTGGCGTGTGGTCAAGCACTTTTTTTTTTTGTCAAACATTTTATTTCTGGTCCAGTGTGTGTGTTTGTTTACTGTGTTTGTGTTATTGGTTTCTGTTTTTCTTGTTCTCTCTGGATAGTGCCTTTCTCTCTGGTGTTTCAGTGTCTCCGACCTGCTACTTTGAGCCCCCTCCCTTTATGGGGCCCTGCCAGTCCTGCAGTGAGAAACAGTGTACATAATCCAACCTGTCCCATCCAGCAATGCCCTCCCCACCCCCCGAAACCCTTTTTCCCCTCTCCTACATCAACCCGCCTTCACCTTTGTCCTCACCAACATGGAACTCTTCTTATTTAAGTGTCTCTCGCCTCGTCTTACCTAATGATACGGTTTTGTTCTCTTTTTTTTTTTTTTTCTTTTTTTTTTATTTGCATTTGTTTTTTTTGTTGTTTTTTTTTGTTTTTTGTTTTCAATTAATAAAATGCAATTATTAAAAAATGAGAATCATTTTTTGTGGTTTGTATTTTAGAGGAGGAATCTCTCATGGATCTGGTTGGTAACTGACTCATAGATTCACAGTCTTACTCCCGCTGAGTCTCCGCTGTTCGAACGGCTCTGCACCTGCCAACCTGCATCAACTGTTAGAAGAAGTAATAGCGGCAACATCAGCAGCGGCTGCTGCAGTTCAAACACTATATTATATTTTATCACTAATGTTTTTTTTGTTTGTGCGTATGTTTGAGGTTTGACATTTTAAAGGAATAGTTTGACATTTTTGGGGAAATGCACTGATTTGTTTCCTTGCTTGATGGTTAGATGAGGAGGTGGATTTTCAACAGGCCAATTATAAAATACACAAAACAAGAATATTTATTACAATTGTTTAAATATTATGTTGTGTACATATTTTAAATGAAGTTATTTTTGTGTTTCAGATTAATTGGCCATGGTCTTAAAAAATGTTAAGTGTGACTGATTTATCCTAAAATTATTTAATTTCCTTAACATGCTTAACTTTTTTCATTCCTTTTTTCTTTTTCTTTTTCTTTTTTTTACAGGTTCTCAGTAATATAAAGTTTAGAAACAAAGTTTTCATTTCTTTTTGAGTTTTTGTAAATAATGATCTCACACTTTTGTTGTACAATGTCACAGTCGCCATCTTAAATGTACAGAACAGACTTATTTTTCCTATAAAATGCATAAAACTGAAGAAAATGTTTATAAAAATACCATTCACTTATCACGTATGTATCACGTATCAGTGATTAATATTTCAGCCACAGAAATAAGATCATTTAGTTTGAATTTAATATAGATATGTCTATTATTGGTGGCATTATTGGTGGATATTTTGACACACTAAATGACAGAATGGTTATTTGAAAAGTTAAAAGCGAGCATGAGTCAAGGCGAGGCTTATTTCAAATGTTATGTAGCTTTCGTTTAAAATTAGTGTTGACCTTTTTCAAAATCTTAGATTCATTCATGTATCTTTCCATCTTCTTGACAGTGAGTGGTTTCCATGTAGTCTACAAACCAGTGCAGTATGATAATCAGCTTGCAGACTTGAAACTTGTGATGAGTCATCCATCACAGTGAAGATCAGGCGAGCTTTGATTTTTTTTGGCAGAGCTGTCGCTGCTTGTTAACACATTTGAAAGCACAGATGGTTTTGTCATCTGTGCCGGTTCTGTCTTTGCGGGAGCTGCTTTAAAAAAAAAAAAAAAAAAGGATTTGAGAGATGCACTCATTAGCTCTGGTTTGCTCCTCACCAGCACAACATACTGTATTCTCACATCAGCGCTGTTTTGAGTTGTGCATAGCGCCCATTAAACACTACAGTATGTTTATTTGACCTGCAATAAATGGGTTAAAGCGTGCAACAACTCCCAAATGGTCACAAAGGGATTTATCCTTCTTGACATGCTTAGCCTTTCCAGGTGCAGACGCAGTTAAATAGTTGTGTTGCATTAAATCATATGGGTTATAATCTAAAAATACACCGGAAACCTACATATTTACAAGATTAGCAACCTATGACTGAAACGGAATTCTCCCAAACAGCAGAGAAGCAGCGGTGAGTCAGTGAGTGGTTTTAGTTGAACACCAACTCAATACTTCGGGGCTCATTTCGCTACGAAACGCATCCAAAGCGTCTCATGTTTGTGTCGAGGTGCAGATGATGTGCATGTGTCAAGATGATCAAAACGAAGCAGTGAAGAGGAAGCTGATGCTTTCATTTCTTGAAGAGAAGCCCGGGGTGCTCTGCATGCTGCACTCTGCTGCAGCCCAGTGAGATCTCTATAACGTCACGTTAGCCACGGTCTGGTGCACCGTCTGCTCCACATTTTGACTTTTAGCACTCAGAGCACCACTTTAGCTCTTCTCTCCAGACCGGCTCCGCTCAGACCTCTGCTGTTGTCACCAAATGCCTTAAGCAGACACTGTTACATCAGGGTTGCTGTCCTCTTTCTAACCCTCTCATCTGGAGCGTATTCTAGTCATGAGAGAGCTCGTCCTGCTCCGGTGCTTCTCTTCATCCCTCTGACCTTTACCGGTAATGTCGCCCAGAGAGTGGCCTCCATTGTCCACAGGCTGTCATTCAAATGGAATAAATGTTTTCTGATGTAGATTATGTATATGACATTGTAAGTCTCTCATAATTGTGTATGGCTTTTTTTAAAAGTAAAGGCCTAAGCACAAAGTCTGCCCCAGGGGTTTTTGCCTCTTAAGCTTGACTAGGCCGTTTGCCATATGGTGCTTCTATAGTAGCGGACAACAGTTGTGCCAGCACTAAAAGCCAACAGCTCGGCACCGTGTTTGGACATTTTAAGATGATTTGAGGATTTGCAAGTGAGGAGGACATTTCGTGCAGAGTTGAGAAGATTATTGTTAGTGTGTGAACTAGTGACCCGTTTGTGCACGTCCCTCAGCATCATAATTATAGTCACTGATATTTTCAGCTCAATCCACTCAAACACACGGTTTGACATGATTTTCAGAGACAGATATTATTCGAGGTAAATAAAATAAGATGTCAGGGTTGGGGTTGGGTGTTTGGCAAATGTCTGCTGCTCTGTGTTATATGTTAAGGTGCCTTGCCTGTATCATGGATGGATGACAGAACAGGTTTACCAGTACAGTATCAGGAACCCCCTGGACCGGAGCCTCTTTATCAAGTGGCTGTTGGAAAGTTGGAAAGTAATTAAATGATTATAAAGAGACACGAAATCAACCACAAAGAAATGCAAAGTGACTAACAAAGACATTCAAAACATCGAGAAGATGCGAGATGACTACAAAGAGACGCAAACATGTCAACATGGACGCAAATCAACCACTAAGAGATGCAAGATGAGCACAAAGTGGCACAGAGCGACTACAAAGAGATGTCAAGTGTTCACAGAGAGAGACATTTGTAGTCGTTTTGTGTCTCTTTGAGTCTCGGTGTCGGGGGGATGGTGGGGGATTTTTATGCGTCTGTGTCCAGGGGCCACTTTCAGTTATTTGGAGTTACGAAATGCAGCTCGTAACTGATATAATTCTATGTTAAAATATTTAACATCTTTATTTGGTATTCATTTATTGCACTGAATACACAGTGTAACTTTTTTTTTTTAAATGCATAGTTTATCATTGCTTTATATTACGGCCCCCTCCATTCAAAAGTTTGAAAAACTTCCCCCGAGCTCGAGTTCTTCAGAATCTATTTCTGTCCACGTTTACAGCTTTTAATGATATAACCTGAGTGGGCAGCCGTCTGCCACCGAGGCAAAGTGTAACCTTAACTCTCTCATGTAATATATTAAATCATGAACCCATGGAAACAATCGGTGTCCCTGTGTAGGTGTCTGATATCAGATCACTCATTTCAACTGTATGAACGCATGCATTTATCTGGCATGCAAAGGTTGAGACTTTCCACTCCACTCCCTGCTCACAGACGGATAAACGAGATGAGCACAAACGCACCCTGACACACTCCTGCCCCACGGTGACCTCTGTGGCTGTAAGGGAGACTTCGGGATCACATTAGGTGGCAATCTGGAGTTCAGAAGTTGCATTCAAGGCCTAAACTCTCTCCAGTTTCTCTGTCATACTCTGTCAGAACATCGTAGAGAGGCAGTTTTAACTTGTTTGAGCTCTCCTCATGCAAACAGCCGGTATATTTCAAACACAGGAGTCTTTCTACCTCAGCCAGCCTGGTACTGCTGCTGCCAAACGTCTCATGGCAAAACAGTCATTTAAAGTCAGACAGGTACACACAACTGAGAGGAGACATGTGGGAGGAGAGCTTATCCACTTAAACTGTTTCACTCTAGCATTAAAAAACAGCTGCAGTCAAACGATGACACCAAATATAAATATTTGAAATAACTTACAGTATGTGACAGACAGTTTTTTCCCCCAACATCAATCCAAGTTTATTCAAGCTGACTTGGTGTCCTGAGACCAGTGCATGTATTTTTGGTTTATTACTGCCACCTACTGTCTGATCTCCACAGTTTATTTATACCTGTTAAATCACTTTGTTGTTTTTTTTTTGTCTGTAATTTTTAATTGTAGAACAAGCTGGATGTGGACGAATACTATAAATTTCAGTATCACTGGGAAATGTTGAAAGATACAGATGATAAAAACATTTTTACAATACTGCTAGATATCAAATATATCTAACTTATCGACCAGATCGTGACAATACAGGTCATGTTGCCTGCTGTATTTATTTAGTGCAGTTGTTGAATTGTTGACATTTGAACCACAGTATGACAAAGTACAAAGAGTTAAAACGACATTTGCCCCTAAGGAAAGCTCCTCTCCTCTAACAGATATAAATTAAGGATTTTTAGATTTGGACTCAATTAATTTACTGAAATAAAATCACAGCAGTCCTAGCGATGTCGCCCGCTCGAACAATAGAGGGCGCTGTTTCACCATTTTAAACCATTACAGTGGCGACTCCAGCCACTGAGCTGAGCTTCAGCCACCTCCAGTGCTGATTTGATGACACTGAACGCGACATTTCGCCCGCAAATGTCGTCGCTTTGTGTAAACGTGGAGCTGTTATATTCACCATTGTAGGTTAAAGACATTATCTGGATAAAACGGCGGCAAAAAACGTTTGACGTTGTCGGCAGGATTCGAACCTGCGCGGGGAGACCCCAATGGATTTCTAGTCCATCGCCTTAACCACTCGGCCACGACAACTTATGTTCAATGGGAACCTCTCTAAGCTATTCATACTTCACTTTAAATCATATTAAAACTGTAGAAGTGTTATATGAAATGTTACGCATTTGATATAAAATTAGCTTACATTAAAACCATATCAGTGGCAGTCAGCTGCAAAGTCTTAACAGTGGTGTAATGGCGGCAGAGGGCGGTGAATATTAGAGCGAATCTATCCTCAGTTTACTTACAGTTGCAAAGGAGTGTCACCAACATTGCATCCTTACATCTTTATTAATACTGTATCAGTAAAATAAATACTGTTTGGTTTTGATAGTAAGTCAATAAACCCTCTTGTAATCTGTCTTAAGTGATATTAAAATTTTATTCTGTGCAGGCACATATTGTTGGGTCACTGTACCTACTTTTCAGAATAATAATTTACACGAACATGTGATAAACAATAAAATACGATGCATTACTCAAATTTGTGCCACCTTTGCTTGACTTCTTACGCGTTATTGCAACAAGTAATATAAGCATATAAAACGATTCAATCACCAAATATATTCCATGTGTTTTGATTGCTGCTTCGCACGCACCTGCAGGTCTCTGTGAGCAGAGAACTGGCCACTTTACAGCCAGTCTCAATATTTTAAAAATTAAAATGAATTTAAATGATTAAAATTATTTAATTTGTTGTTTTAACTTCTTTCATTTCATTATCTGCGTGATTTGCAGTGTTTGCTGTCATCTATAACATCTGGAAGCGGCTTTACGCCGGGGGAAAAAAAAAAAAACAGGGATCCAACATAATTTTCATTAAAAAGTGAAACCGCCCACTGAGAGAAAAACAGTACGAGTAAGTCCGTAAACATGAAACTACTTGTGAGAAAAAAAATAATTTCGGTCGTCGCTGCCACTGAGCTGGGTAAGTAAGTAGTATCGGCTAATCACGTGACTCCTCTGGTGAGGGCCTGCTGTTTGTTCAGCCAGAGAGGCAGAGAAGAAGAAAAATGGCGGCTCTAGGCGAACCCAAACGGGACGCCGGGCTAACATTTTGAGCTTTCACACCCGGACAGACACAGGGGTATCACGGGGTTACTACACCGTCTGAATCCCCACCGGTCCAGCTTTGTGGCGGTACCGCTTTCGCTCGCGTCCGTGTAGGCTAAATAAACGCAAAAATTGTGACTGTAAAATAACAGATTTCGCCTATCATGAGAGGGAAAAGAGGCAGGCCGCCCAAATCGCTACAAGCCGAGGAGCCGTCCCCAGCTACGGCCCGGGGCTTGCGACCCAGGAGGAATCTTAAGCCCAGGTTGCGGGACAGCGGGGACGAGGAGAGCCCCACAAGGGAGACCACCAAGCCGGCGAGAAAGAAGAGAGGGGGACCCGGCACGTCAACACGGGGCAGGGGAAGAGGTAGAGGTGGCGGCGGCGGCAGAGGAGGCAGAGGGGGTCGTGGAGGAAAGCGGACGGCTGCATCCAAAACAGTGGTGTACGACGATCACGAGAGCGAGGAGGAGGACGATGCTGTCAGTTTGAGGTCCGAGGAGGATGAGTATATTGAGGAGGAACCTCAGTCCGAAGAGGATGAGGGCCTCAAAGAGGACTCTGACTGCCTTGAAGATGATGTGCTGGACGAGGAGGAGGAGGATGATGCCAGCTACTGTACAGAGAGTAGCTTTCGGAGCCAGAGCACACACGCCAGCACTCCGGGTAAATAAACACTATGATCAGGCAGTGGCCACAGTGTCTCAACATACCCTCCAGGGGATGGCAAATACATCCCCAAATGCTGCTGATGATTGTTTTTAATCAGTGCAGGAAGCAGTAGGTTATTGTTCAAAATGGAGAATGCACACTGTATGAACACAGGCCGCAGTCCGCTCATTAATGCTACTGCAGGTGGATTGAGTCCGTAGCTGTACCGCCAGTTTACCTTGCCGCCATCACCGTGTGTCAAAACGTCTTAAAGCACACCGATCAAATAATCCATACCTATCCTAATGATCACTGCTAATCCCTGCTGCTCGAAATACCGTTCAGTTGCATTTCAGTCAGTAACTTAGCTGCTAGCGCGCTAACGCTAGCAAGCGAAATTAGCTCGTGCTGACCAGTGTCATCCTTAAGACAGGCATGCAGTGTTAGATAACGGTAACTTTATGTGTTTATAGCTGTCTTCGACACTTCTTTGGGTGGATATGTAATGTTTGTCATTTATAGAAGGTAATCATGAAGAGGAGGAGATAAGAGCTAGCTAACTAACTTAGCTTGGCCAGCGTGCCTGTCATTTTAATCATTTTTGCAAGCTTTCAGCTCTGTAAACCCTTCAATCAATCACTCCAAAAAAATGATGGTTAATGTTTTTTACTGTGCAACACCGAGAAATAACTATTATACGGTGTAGTCCGACTAACATTTACATCATTAGCCGGCCCGGGGAGTGTTTTCCTGGATGCAGGAGGATGAGGCAGTCCCTGTTAGCTAATAATGTCACCGGCCATGTGTTGAGCCGGCTCAGCCAAAGTAACACACTTTAAAGTTTTGCCATCATCCGGACACAATTTATCCTTTTCACATTCTGACATTTCTGTCACATTTGTCTCCTTGAACGGTGAAATTACGTTAATTACAATTACATTCAGAAATTAAGCACTTAACCATCTGATGTTGGAGATATGGAAACACAAAGGATGGATATTGCTAAATAGGAAGAGATAGGCAATATTGAAAATAACATATATCACAGTATTATCACTCTGTACTGCAGTATAGATAATGTGGCTGTTTTTAAAGTATAACCCTCAGTCCTTTCATACAACCATAAACAACATTTTTAGAAGTTTTATGCTTTGCTGTAGCCCATGGATTAAAGCAGTCTAATTGTTCACTACTATCATTGTTTATCTCACAGGGAAGAAAAAAGTACGAGCTCCCCGGCCTCGCACTCCCATCCTGGAGGAGAAGGAGATTCCTCATCTGGAGCTTCCTAACACCTCTGAGGATCTCCTGGTGCCTAACGAGGAGCTGCTCAATGCCACCTCCATCTACGAGGTGCTACGGAACTTCAGCACGGTGCTGCGTCTCTCCCCCTTTCGCTTTGAGGACTTTTGTGCTGCACTGGTAGGCCAGGAGCAGTGCACTTTAATAGCAGAGACCCATATTTCCCTTTTGAAGGCCATCCTACGGGAGGAGGACTCCTCCAACACTACCTTTGGCCCCGCTGACCTCAAGGACAGTGTCAATTCCACTCTGTACTTTATTGACGGCATGACATGGCCTGAGGTGTTGCGGGCGTACTGTGAGAGCGACCGGGAGTACCATCATGTCCTTCCATACCAAGAAGTGGATGAGTATCCCTACGGCCCTCTTGAAAGTAAGATCAAGGTGCTACAGTTCTTGGTGGACCAGTTTCTCACCACCAATATCGCCCGCGAGGAGCTGATGTCGGACGGCAGCATGCAGTATGACGATCACTGCCGTGTGTGTCATCGCCTGGGTGACCTGCTGTGCTGTGAGACCTGTTCAGCTGTCTATCACCTGGAGTGTGTGAAACCACCACTGGAGGAGGTTCCAGAGGACGAGTGGCAGTGTGAGATTTGTGTGGCACACAAGGTGCCTGGTGTCACAGACTGTGTAACGGAGGCACAGAAGAACAAGCCCTACATCCGCCAGGAACCCATTGGATATGACCGGCACCAGAGGAAATACTGGTTCCTAAACAGAAGGATTATTGTGTAAGTAGGATCCTCAATGAGTCTATACAATGGGTCTAATGGTAAATCAGTATACAAAGTATTTCTGTACGAATCTCTTCCCAGTGTGACTCCAATTTTGCACAATGTGGTTGTGATTTCCAACTTGTGTACAGTCCCTCCAGCACAAGTTGTTCTACTTCTGTCAAACTTTGCTAAAATGAAAGAAGTTATAAAATACCTCAATTTCCTTCTTTCATAATAACATTCATCTCCAGCTCCCCCCTGTCTTTTATATCCAGAGTATTCCCTGACAGGTGTGATCGCAAACATTAATATATTTGTGACACAATTTTCATAGTGCACTTTTCTTCCATAATCCTTTTTAAAAAGAATTCAGTCGGAGTGGGTGGTCGCTTGTTTTATTCCCTCTGTGACATGAAATAATTTCTCTATTCTATAAATATCTTTCGAGGATAAACCAAATTTATCTTGTAACTGTTTAAATTATTTCAAAATTTAGCTCATTCATTCACATTTGGTGTATTATAATAAGTCCTTTTCTCTGCCCATTCTCCGAACCAAGCGTCATTGCTCTTGATGATTGTTAAAACCTGACACTATCCCAAAACCCTTCAAGCATTTCAAAAGCGTTGGAGTAGCGGTTAGAAGGTCACTAACAAAGGGACATCATACGCGTACAACACTATTTTATCGCATCCTCCTCCATCTTACTTTCCATATAGTCTAGGTTTCTAGCATTTCCGTTAGTGGCTCTAAAGTAATTGCAAATAATAATGTGGGTGGGGGCGTCCTTGTGTGCTCCCCTTTTTCGCCCATGACAGTGGTCTGGAATAAAGTTCTTAAACCTGATTACTAAAATCTAAATGAAATCCCATTTTCTCAAGTGTATGATCCAAATATAGCCAATGTATTTTAGCAAATGCTTCCTCAGCATCTCAGCTGAGAAGCATTGAAGGTCGTTTCTCTCGTGCCACTGAGATTATATTCAGGGTTTGTCTGACGCTATTTATTCCCTGTCTTTCAGGTATGAAATTATTCTATTAATAAATACACGTCCAGATTCTTTCAGCCATTATTGTTTTCAGTATCTTTACATCACTGAGGAGAAGCGAGTGTTGGTTCATATGAAGCACAGTTTGTGGGGTCTTTCCCTTCCCTGGGAATTACAGACATTAGTGCATCTGACCACCGCTCATTCTCATCGAGAGCATTAGTAAATACTTTTTGCACTAGGCCTGTGACTTCCTCCTTAAAACAGTTATAAAATTCCCCCGGGTATCGCCCTATCCTAATTCTTTATTACCTCTTCACTTTCCTCCTTTGTTATCGGATCTATCGTTGCTTTCAGCTCTACTTCAGTTTATTCAGATTAAAAAAATAATAATTAATTACACACTTAGATAAATTAAACATCGAGCTGATAATTGCTGATGATGATGATAATGTGCTTTTGTGTTTTTATTCTTATTAATGATAGTGATATTGATACCCTAGAGAAGATTATAAACAGCTCAGTTCTTATCGTGATCTGAGATGATGATCTTAAAAACACGTCGCCTCAGTCCATGAAATAGTGAAAAAGTAGCAGCTTGCTGGGTCACCCCGGTCCGTGTAAATATTCAGTAATAGCCTTATTCAGTACCATCATCTCATGAGTTTGTGTTGTTGTGAAGCCAAATGCAGATTCACCCTAAGTATGACAAACAGGCCCCCTGGGTGAACCAATACAATACTGCAGCCACGTTACCAGACCTGTCTTGATGCTGTGTGTGTGTGTGTGTGTGTGTGTGTGTGTGTGTGTGTGTGTGTGTGTGTGTGTGTGTGTTTGTGTGTGTGTGTGTGTGTGTGTGTGTGTGTGTGTGTTCCAGCCTAAAAAAGGGAAACCACTGGAAAATGAAACTGAAAGTTACGGAGGGGGGGAAACACGTTTGGCATGAAAGAATGCAACATGCTTCCATGAATTCAGTCATTTGTTTGACTAGTGTTTATAAAGGAAACATACAATCCGATTCCTTTATCTGTTCATTGGCAGTGAAGCTTTTCCTGAACGCCCCCTCACCCACTCCCCCCCAGACTTCTGTTCTCTTTGAGCGTAGCCCTTTATAAATGAGAGGCTGAATTCATCTTACTGTCAGACAGTATTTGACAGAGCCTTTTATTGTTTTTCATTTGGGGAGAAACAGGCGCTCAGCTCTTGAGCTGAACTGTTGTGCACCAACAGAATATTAATGAGACACTTAAAGTAGATGAGCAGTCTGCTACAAGTCACTGTTTAACCCGTCCTGGACACAGTTTTGTCCTGAGCCTGATTATATTCATTTCTTCTTGCATACCAGTAGCTAGTATCATAATGCATGAATCAGCTTGCTGTTGCAACTCAGTTCTAGTATGGAAACTGATTATTATTAGTTTTTTCAGCTTGTTTGCACATCCTTCTCTTTACCTCGTACAGGCATCTCAACAGAGTGCAGAGTTTATTTAATCCAACTGAAAGAAGAGAGGCTAATGTTTCTTTAATAAAAGTTGAAATACATAATCTACAGGGTATTTAGCAAAACCAGTCATGTTATCTTACTAGGTAATATAAATGAATACATGTCTAAATTTGTGTCAAGCAGTGAACATGTTTATATTGTCTCAGTTCATTCGTATTGTAAACCGTGCCCTGCAGTGAGGTGGTAGAGGACATGGCGTGGCTTGTTCTGTTATTTAAGAGCTTTATCCTGTTCTCACTCCCCAGGGAAGAGGACGGGGAGGACAAGAAGAAAAAGATCTGGTACTACAGCACCAAGGCGCAGCTGGAGGAGTTCATGGAGCGCCTGGATAAAGAGTACTGGGAGATGGACCTGCACGCCACTCTGGAGGAGATGAAGGAGGAAGTCCAAGCTCACATGGACATCACAGAGGACCTTACCAACAAAGCCCGTGGAAACAATAAAGCCTACCTCACTGCTGTCAACGGTAAAGATTTGATTTTGTCTTGACATCCCAAAATAGAGATAAATTTGAACCCTGTAGTACATGTGAGTAGGATGTACTCCGGTCCATGCGACCAGCGTTTGATGCTAACCTGACTGTTAACAACCGTAGACTGCAAATAAAGATGGACGTAGCCTCCGTGACGTCACCCATAGGTCTCTGAGGAGCGGTTTTGAAGCTCATAGGTGAGCCGCTCCCGCCGTCGCCATCTCGCCAGTATCTGTTGCTGCCGAACCTAATAATACAGAAACTGGCAAAGAGGAGGGGGCGTGTGTGGAGCTGAGACTTTGGCGTACGCTCATCCGCCTGTCACTCAAAGTGGCATTCCCTCAATTATATACATACATAACTTTAAGCCTAACTTTAAACTTTAAGTGAGTTATATAAACAGGTGTCATGAAGGAGGAAATCACCCGTAGAGACCAAAACAGTTTTTTTGTACCAGGCTGTGGACATGTTTATTTCTGCTGTGAAGTGTAACCTGGAAGTCTACGGGGACTGACCCACTTCTGGAGCCGTTTTTTTTTTTTTTGGTCCTTCTGTGTTGGCTTTAATTTTTCAGCCTCGGAGGTTGCTGCTTGTTAACAACCAGAACATGTTTGCATCATGTATGAATCTTTTGTGTTTGACCCGCAGGGTTACAGTCTATCAGATAAACATGTATGTCTTCCCCCTTCGGGCAGCAGTGCTCTGCTGTGATGACAGTTGGCACACAAATGTTAAGTGCTGCCTTCTCTTCCTGCTTCACGCTTTATCAGACAACTAGCAACTGTTTTCCCCCCTCTGCCTTCCTCCAAGGAGTCACAATGGTTAGATGACTTTTGATTATTACGCCAGCAGTTTCCGCTTCTGTGTGACAAGCTGCCAGATCTGTCTGATTTTACTTTTCCTGTGTATGTCACCGAAAAGCCCGATTCCATTAACAAGAAAGACAGCGGGGGAACTGTGTGTTTTATTGGGGAAGAGCCTCTGGCATTCTTTTAAAAGCTAGAGGTCTGAATAAGTATGCTGCAGCCCAAAATGGAAGTAAATGCCACGTTTTTGTGAGAGCCATTACAGTCCATCATAAGTGATTTATGGTTAGTGCTAGTATTTTTCATCTGTGTTAAAAGCCCACTGCTGCAGCACAGTGCCGCCTGCACCTTGCTCTCCCTCATCTGAGCTGGTGGGGACACTGCTGCTTTGTTCCCAGTGAGAGTTGTAGTTATGAAACATGATTCTTTGGAGATTTTTTTTTTTATTTTTTATTTTTTATGAAAGAACATCTGCTATGTCTTGGACCTGTGCTGATGGGAGTATTTTTCTTTGCTGAATTGACTTATACTTGAGTTATAGACTGTGGATATGCTGGCATCTAAGACCAAGTTCACACTATTACTTTGTTTTAATTTATAACTTGTCACATTAACTTGTCAAAGCTCGTCTCAAACTCAAAAGTGGAATTTTATGATAGGAAAACGTTACGCTCCAGTTTCCTCGTTAGGATGCTTCTCTTAAGTATTTTTCGTAGAGCTGAAACAGTTCATTAATTGATCATTGTTTATAACTCCTGTTATTTTTGGCCAGCCATGTAAACATGAAGGTCTGTGACTGAGTGAGTGATAGAGTTGCATGATCAACAACCTGGTGCATTTGTCGCTAGATTTACAGACTAGCGACAAATCTAGCAACTTTTTGGACAAGCTCGTAGCTACTTGGAAGAGATTTGCCAATAATGCCAATCTTGTTGTCTGACAAACAGAAACAGAAAAAAATATGTGTAAATGAGCAACAGCTTCATTTGATTTTGTTTGTAGACGTGATCATGGAGCATTTGAAGGTCAGGCGGGAGGCACAGGAAGCAAAGAGGCGAGCAGAGGAGGCAAAGAAGGAAGCAGAAACGGGCTCGGTTAAAACGGCGGAGGACACCGCTGAGTCCAGCTCGCAGCTCGACAACAGAGAGCACAAAGACGCCGAACCCAAGGAAGAGGCTAGTTCCCAAGGTAAAAGTGAACTCTGGCTCTAAATCTATCTTACATGTCACTAACTGAACAGATCCAACAGCACTGGTAACAGCAGGTGTAGTTTTACCGTATGTGCAAAGCTGTTCTGACAGTGTATGTTGACTTGCTGATAACACATACTGTATTTTGACTCAGCTAGTGCTGTTTGCCTTGTGTATGTATGTCAAACCACAGCAGCCTCGGTTCCCCCTGCTGCAGAGGAGAGCTGCGTGTCTGATGCTAACCCCGGTTCAGCCTCCCAGGACTCAGCTGTGCCTAAAACAGAATCCCTTGAATCAAAGGAGGAAACGGAGCCTGCTCAGTCTAGGAGCCAGGAGAGTGGGGAGTCCCCTCCGGTGGCAAAGCAGGAAAGGACAGGTGCTCAAAGTCAAACATTGGCTAATGTCCGCTCCGCTATCCCGCCATTATCCCCCCCCCCCCCCCCCCCCCCCCCCCCCCCCCCCCCCACTTCATTCCCTCCCGCTGCGCTGCACGTGTGCATCTGTGTTTATTTGTCTCATTGTCTCGGCTGGTTTCCGCTAACCACGCCGTGCCCTTTTCACCCCCTTTCTTTTGCTTTGTCCAGTAAACGGGGGAAACTACATCACTCACAGACTTTGACATATAACACCTGTCAATCACCCTGAGCAACAGGATGCTGACTTGTGTTCAGGACAGATATCTTGTCGTAACGTGAAGAGATTTGTTTGTTCTGAAACTTAATTCATTGTACACCATCCGGGGGAAAACGTGCAGTAATATACAGGTGATTGTAGATGCTCCAGTGCTTTGAATTCAGACTGTTTATTTCTTTTTCCTCATGACTCTGCTGTGTTTGCAAGGTTTAGATATTTTTCTCAAATTCTGCCTGACAGGTCGGGGTGTCTGCCCGTTTCCCTTTGGCTCTGAGCATCTTACGCTGCTTTGCTCGTCACAAACTGGGTCTCGGTTTGCATTTGTTCAGACAGTTTGTTCATGTTGTTTCATTGGCTGGCTGTTGATTTATGGAACATTTTTGTTTTCCCCTCATGTTTTTTGCATTGACTTCAAACAGACTAGTGTGTCTCTCTGACATATATGTGTATATACGTATTCCCTAGTGGATATATTGTGTTTCCTCAGCTGAATTTCTAATCAGCTCCACACTGTGAGAGAGGGGGACTCCGCGCCTTTACTGAGACATAAATAACATTTCAGACAAAACACTGAGAGCTGTGGCTGTTAAATGCTCCTCCTCTTTTAGCGGCTCATCCAAAACATTTAAGCTTTTATGCAACGCTCGAGTGACCGTAATTAGCCTGATCCTTTGGAACGTCACAGCATCTCTTCATTATCTTCAGTTTACATCTAATTAGATAGTGAGAGGATATTTTCTCCTCCATGTAATTGATCCACGGAGACCTTAAGCTGTTGCGGGCCATTTTCTGCCATTCACCTTGTCCTACTCTTGCACTAAACTTAAGCTGTCGCCTTCAGCTGCTGCTTTGGTGGCAAAATGTCGGCATTCGTCTCTCGTCCTGTCTGGTATATCGTCTCCTCCAGTCTTGGTCTTGAAAAGCACACTTTTGGCACTGTGGTAGGCGGCGTCCTTGGCAGCCGCCGCCACCGCGCCACGTCTGTCACAACCAGCTCCTTATTCTCATTCCAATTTATGGGCCTTTGGGTGGGTTTCTGTTGCTCAGACAAAAGGCTCTCTGCCTGGAAGCCCCACCTGCTACCTTGTCAACAAAGAGCTGCATATATATGCAGGACTCTCTCTCTCTCTCTCTGTCCCGTTACAACCCAAAGGCAGAGCTGGTGTCTCAATTTGGCTTTGCAGCAAAGTGCGCAGCTTATTTTGGATTTGTGTTGCTTTTCCTTTCCAAGATGGGTTTGGTTTTATAGGCCCAGCTAGACTGATGAAACACTTAATATTCCACTAAACATTTTTAGTTTTTTTAAATAGTTTGTCGGTCGAATGCTGACGCCAAGATTTAAGACATCGTCATACACTGAGCAAACCTTTTTTGAGAATTTCCTAATTACAGCAGTTGCCAATATCATGTGCAATATCAGCTGCCGTCTTTGCTTACAGCATGTTGCCTGTAAGAATGTCTTTCCATTTCACTCCTAGCACCTCTAACACTTTCATTTACAGCTAAACTCAGTCTTTCTTACTGTATTTTTCTTTGGTTTGTTTTAGATGAAGATGTGAAAGCAGGGTCTAGCAGTGAAGTCGCACACCCTGACGACTCGCAGGCGCCGACCCAAGATCAGCCCCAGCAGCCGTCGTCTCAGCCAGAGACGGGCGGCGGCGGCGGCGGCGGCGGCGGCGGCAGCCAGGTTTCTGGATCTGGGAGCCTCAGGAAACTAGACCCGCCTGACCTGGCTGATCGGTCCTCTCAGTCCTCCTTCACCAGCCAGGACGGGACAGGTAAGCACGAGAGAGCGTCGCTAGTGCTGCTCAGGAAGTAAATAAAACACTGAGGGTGGAAGTTAAAGTGTCTGTTTGTTGTTGCGCTGACGGTGTATCTGCTTTCTGGACGGCAGACGAGTACAACGAACGGGTCAAGAGCGATAGGCCGAGAGCGGCAGGACAGGAGCTGAATAACCGAACACCCAGAGGCAGCAAAGACGTGAGTGCCGGTGTTGTTTTAGGTCTACAACAAAAGTGCTGCTTCTTTTTCTGTCTAACGAAAAGAGAGGACAGATCCTTTTAATATTTTCTTTCACTACTGGCTTTGTGCCCAGCAGTGTGTTGCGTATTTTCTTTAAGCAGAGTTGTCATATTAGCATTAATTAGATTGATTTGATGAAATGATAAAAAGGTTTTGTAAGGAAATGTTAGTACTCAAAAGTTGTTGTATCAGCATGGGTGTCAGAAGCTGTGAAACCTCTGGTTATTAAAGCCACAGTTCATGTTCCCTCCGGTGTTTCAGTCGTCCCCTGTACGCTCCGATGGCGAATCTTCGCGGCTCAGCTTCTTGAAAAGAGACCTGACTGTGAACCTGAACAGCTTGTTCAAACTGGGTCAGGAGGGGAAATACAGGGTCTACCACAACCAGTACAGCACCAACGTCCTGGCCCTCAACAAACATCAGCACCGCGAGGACCACGACAAGAGACGCCACCTGTCCCACAAGTTCAGCCTGACCACGGCAGCCGAGTTCAAATGGAACGGCTCCATCTACGGCTCGCGGAGTCTGACTGTCTCCACCCTGCGTCTCACCATCATCCAGTTGGAAACCAACGTGCCCGGGCCATTTATGCATCCCAACTGGGCATCGCACAGGTACAACTCAGGTTCAGAAGTGTTCGAGAGGCAGCTACACAACATTTCATAGTTTTTTTTTTTTGCACTTCAGTTTTTGTACAGCATCAAGAATATATAATTTATTGATTAGTGAGCTTCAGACGTGCTGCTAGCTGGATTTTATCACCCTTGGACAGAGCAAAGCTAGCAGTTTCCAGGCTTTGTGCAAAGCTAAACCAGCTACATATTTACAGATCAGACGACAGCCAGAAGGGGAATAAGCATATTTTCACAAGATGTTGAACTGTTTCTTTAAAGATAGAAAAATAAGCTATTTAGGTTCTCGTAAAATATGAAGATTTTCAAATATGGTTAAGCTTTTACGGAAGACGTAGTTTCTCTGTGATCTATTGTTTTTACCTGTTGTTTGATGCAGTTTGTGTCTGGTTTTCTTAGGACCAACTGGAACAAAGCAGTGCAGATGTGCAGCAAGGCCAGGGAATTCGCTCTGGCCTTGGCCATACTGGAGTGTGCCATCAAACCAGTCGTCATGCTGCCTGTCTGGAAAGATTCTCTTGGACACACAAGGTACAGGAAGAAGAAAAACTCACTGCAGGAAGTGTGTGGCAGCTGGTTACACACACACACACACACACACACAGCACATTACCATGTAGCGGGCTTTTCCAAAGACTAACCAGGGCTTAATTACACCAGCGATTTCTGGAGCATCCCAACTTTCAGTACTGCTCGTTGTACCTTTTATATCTGGTGTGTTTTTTCTTGCTTCAGGCTCCATCGCATGACCTCCATGGAGCGGGAGGAGAAAGAGAAGGTGAAAAAGCGAGAGAAAAAACTGGAAGATGAGGAGACGCTGCAGCAGGCCACTTGGGTGAAGTACACCATCCCCATCAAACACCAGGTAAAACAGCAGCTGCTCCGAATGAAAGGAGGTTTTACATTAAACACAGTGATCGTACTGAGAAGTTTTTAGCTATTTCACCATTTATCCAATGCATTTACACAACTGTCTCAACTTCACCCTGACATCTGATCCGGAGCGTTGAAACTGCTTTACAGTTGATTTTGTTTCTCCATTTTAATGTGTATAACTGTCTTCATTTTAAAGATTCATAATTTTGTTATTTTTTTCTCCATCTAGGTGTGGAAGCAGAAGGGAGAGGAGTACAGAGTGACTGGTTACGGTGGCTGGAGCTGGGTCAGTAAAACCCACGTGCCGCGTTTTGTTCCAAAGCTCCCCGGGAACACAAACGTAAACTATCGCAAAGAACTGGAGGGTAAGGGCTGAACTGGCATTAATTCCCACTAGTACTACTTTTTATTTTCATGGATATATTCTTCTGCTACTGGCAGTTTAGACTCATATACTAATCTTTTTCTTTTTTTCTTTTTTTTTTTATTATAGCAGCTAAAATGACCAAGGAAAATGCAGCAGCTTGCACAAATAACCAGAAGAAGTCGACGGAAACTGAGAAGCAAAATGCAGCGAATGAGGACAAGGAGCAAGCGTCTGTCACTGCATCAGCACAGAGCACTTCATCAGAGGAGGAGGACTGCAAACCTCAGAACTCAGAAGGGGAAGAAAAACCCACAGAGAAGGAGGAGGGGAAAACTGTGCAAGAGAAGAGAGAAGATGAAAAAATGGAGGTTGACCCCTGCCCAGAAACTGTTGCCTCAAGTCACGAGAAAGGTAAATAGTGGAAATTAAATTATCTCTCATTTATTTTTGGATTTTATCGTTGGTGCTGTTTGTGGAAATCAAATATGTTTTCCACCCTCCACTGACCTGTGGGACTTTTTGTTGTAGACCAAGTTGAAAACAAAGACCCTCCCTCGCCTTCTGTGGAGCCCGTGAGGGAAGAGCCGGTGCAGCATGTGGAACAACCCAAGAAGGAGGAGGCCGCCGCATCAAACCTTTACTATGACGTGGTGAATGTCAGCGAGGGCTTCCAGCTGCGGACGGCTTATAAGAAGAAGGTAAAGCCTTCCAAGCTGGACGGGCTCTTGGAGCGCCGGGTGAAACAGTTCACCTTGGAGGAGAAACAGAGGCTGGAGCGGATGAGACAGGCGACCCTGCTGTCCAAAATGGCTGCCACGAAGCCCAATTCTGGAGTTAAGACTGAAGGATCCACGTTAGGCAAACAGCAGCCTGCTGTGACTCCCTGCGTTAAAGCAGAAGAGAAGGAGGAGAGCTTACAGGCGAACGACCAAGTGGTTAAAAAGCTTGAATTTGAGGAGGAGCAGACGGAGGATAAAACAGAGTCGGCAGCAACAAACCACAGCAAACAGACGGAGGTGAAAGCTGTGCAGGGGAGTGGAGCGGAGGCCTTAGCCCATAAAGAGGTGAATGGAGAATCCTTAAAGAACACCGAGCTCAGCAGTAAAAACAATTGTATATCGGAGGCAATAGAAAGCAAAGAGAAAACACAGAAGCCAGAGAACGCCAAGAAACGTGGATATGAGGAGATGGAGCAAGGCGGCGCGCAGAGCGACACCGAGAGCGCCGACGTGGACCGAAACAAGACCGGTCCCGTGCAGGTGAATGGGAAAACTGCGGTCAGCACGACGGAGGACTCGAGCATCAATTCAGACCCGTCCAGTGAAGTCCAGGGTGACATCAAAGAGCCTGTCAAGTCTCTGATGAACGGAGACCTCTCGCAAAACGATGCGTCCGACAAATGTCACCCACCTCCGCTGAAAGTCCCGAAGTTGGAGAACCACGTGGCGGAGAGAGGAGACGCTCTCGGTAAGAGTGAGGACGGTGAGGGGACAACGCCTGCTAAGCTTCCATCGTCAAGCCCCTCCTGCGTGAATAGCAATAGCACCGACAACGGCAGCAGTAGCGAAGGTTTGAAGTCTTCAGTCGCCACCACAGAGCCTCAAAATGCCTCAACGACTGACGCATCCCGCAGCGTTGCGTCATCTCAAGCGGCGACCACCGCTGTCTCCTCTGTCACCGCTTCCGCCACCGCCCAGTCCAGCTCCCTTGCGCCCGGGGCAGTTGTCTCCCAGAAGGCCAAACTCCCAGTCACCGACAGCAAGACGAGCGCCTGTGGTTCAACAACAACCAGCTCCATGACTATTAGTAAAGAGTATTCCACCAGAGGCCGAGTCAGCCTTCTGAGGTTCTCCAAATCCAGGAAGGCCCGCTCGGGCACCGCCCTGCCGTCCTACCGGAAATTCGTCACCAAGAGCAGCAAGAAGAGCATCTTCGTCCTGCCGAATGATGACCTGAAGAGGCTGGCGAGGAGAGCGGGCATCAGAGAGGTGCCCATCTTCAACTACAACGCCAAGCCTGCCCTGGATATATGGCCCTACCCTTCACCTCGGCCCACCTTTGGCATCACATGGAGGTTTGTGACACATTGGTTTAGTGCTTAAAGATTACTCAGCTAGGTGAATTCTTTTCTTGTAATTACCATTTGACAATATTATGACTTAATGAATGTCAACGTTGTTGTATTTGCATTAGAAAGACGATACGAATACTGTAAGGTAAAGTCTGTTGTCGTCGCATTCAGGTACCGTCTCCAGACTGTGAGGTCGCTGGCGGGGGTCAGCCTGATGCTGAGGCTGCTGTGGGCGTGCCTCCGCTGGGACGACATGGCCGTTAAACCCTCCGCCGCTGTGGGGACGACCCGGAAAGGTGAGAACACGTCGCGCATTTCCTCTTCACCTGTATTCGTCTTTTCACTTCTTCTTCTCTGGACGCCTCTGAGGAAACCTGCTCGTTCCTATTTCGGTTCAGACATGCAACTTCTACTTTACTGTGGTATCATGACCGTTGAGTGATTCGCTAATGTGTTTGATTCTCACCGAAGAAACCACGGACACGGACATCACCACAACAGAGATTATAAAACGAAGAGACGTTGGGCCTTACGGCATCCGCTCAGAATACTGCATCAGGAAGATCATCTGTCCGCTCGGAAACAGAGACACTCCCAAAGGTAAAACAAAACATTAGTTCAGAAACGATGTAGGATTTTAATTTGACTCCGAGATCCAGGGCTGGAGGAGTCGTGCCGGCGTAATACAAAGATAATTGATAGTTTGTTTTTCTCCCTTCACGTGAGTAGAAACCCCCACTCCACAGAGGAAAGGCCTGCGCTCGAGCGCCTTAAGGCCCAAGAAGCAGGAGCCGGCCAAGCTGACTGGGCCTATCGCTGTGGAGACATGGGTGCCTGAAGAGGAGATGGAGCTGTGGGAGATCAGGGCCTTTGCAGAGAGGTGAGAAACACACAAGCGAGCCTCCTTAACGTTATCATTTTGGGGAGGAACACTGAATTCTCGAGGTGGAGCGCCGATTCATCACATTAACCTTTTTTTTTCCCCTTGGTGTTACAGGGTGGAGAGGGAGAAATCACAGGGTATAGATCCCTCCAAGACTGGCAGTGCTCTGAAGACAGCCGAGGATGTCAAGGCCCATTTGGAGAATCAGCTGAAACAGGCCAGACTGGCTGCTCAACAGGTGGGAGCGCTGTCGTCAGGGTTTCTGGCTTGTTATAGACCATGTTTTGGGTCATCAAACTCCATGTACTTAAAAAGAAATATATATATATATATCACTTTTTGTTTTAGAAACGTCTGGAGCTGCAGAGACCGAGTACAACTGCCACCGTTTCCACAACAACCGCCACCCCCACCTCAGCCAGCACTCCCAGCACCCCGGCGTCCACGGGCCAGAGGACGGGTCAGGTCACATCTGGAACCAAGATGGTCCTCGCCTCCAAACTGGGCTCTCCGGTTTCCTTCCAGCAAGACAAGAACTTCCACCAGTCTTTCGCTTCCTGGGTCAAGCAGGGTCAGACCAACAACAGCTCAGGTAAGCAGGTGGAAGACGAGGAGTGTGGATCATCCGTAGCCCATCTCAAATCCTCCACACAAAACGGTCTGCGTGTCTTTTCATCCATCGTATTCTGTTAGAGATGAGCAGACGTACAAAAGACCTTTTTTCTTTTTCATTTTTCCTTCTTTATTTTTGTTGAATCGTTTGATAGCCTCATCAATTTGTAAAAAGTCATCGGCAGGACTTCACCTTTTACAACTTCTTTTTTTTTTTTTTGTGTGTGTGTCAGATTTCTATGTTGGTTTGCCAAACTGACTGTGACTCGTGGTGTCCACTCTCAGTCCTGTTGAAACCAGATTTTCAATTATTTTTTTTTTTTTGAGCCTGGAAAAAAATATAAAGGCACAAACAAAAGGCTGTGTATCATCAAAATTTCAAACACAAGACAAATCAATAATCCGAACTCGCTGAAATACCAGCTCCATTTGTTTGACTCGAGCCTTCCAGTGGACACCACAGCTGTAGACTGGCATTTGTGGTGGCCCTTGTGGGTATGCATGACCGCAGGTGGCATGGTGTGTCTTGCAGCCTCCTCTGGCTCGGTGGCCACCGTGGCCAGCGGCATCACCGCCTCAGAGCAAACCTTCCAGATCGCTGGCAGCCCAGTGACTGTGGCTGGCCAGGTCCTCGCCGCCAAACTCCCCCTGCCCGCTAACAGCAAGATTGTCACGCTCAACATGCCCACTACTCAAGGAGGTAGGGAGCACGAGTGTCATCCATTTTCCGCTGGTTCTGGGCTTTACACTTGCCAAAATGGATGAAAGAGTGTCGTGTGAGAGGCAAAAATCTGCCTTGTGATGGAGTCTTGACGTTGAGCATGGATGATGCAACCAGTGTTTGTTTTGTTTTTCTTTTTATGGCCAAAGGTCTGCTTGCGTTTTTGTTTTTTGTTACTGTCGTACAGTCCGTTCTCTGAGTTATGTTTAAACTCCTGTTCATGAACTGAGTGCAAGAGCTTTTTTAAATTGCTTTAGAGATACCTTTTCCTTATCTTTTTATTTTTATTTTATTTTTTTTTAGACAAACAAGACATTTCAAAGCTCTTCCCCACGCAAACAGAGCATGCCTGGCCACTTCAGCACATCCACCAACTGTATTACTGCATGTTCTCTGCTTACATGTTTGTTTCTCTGCTTACATAACTGTTCTTATCAACAGGTGTAGTCCAGCAGAAAGTCTTGGGCATTTTCCCCTCTGGGCCTCCTGCGAACCTGAGGACGTACAGCACACTACATCCTACGACTGGCAACATCAACCTCAGAGCCACCACCTCCGGCTCAACTACTCAGCAACAGGTCTTTTGTTTTTTCACCCTATCCTTTTTTATCTTAACTTGAAGCTATGGGAAATATAAAGCATGATGATGGAGGATTGTTGTTTTTGTTTTGTTTTGCAGGCCACTACAGCAGGAGGCCAAACACAGCCAGGCACTACGATGAGCCAGTCCTCTCCCCTGTCTACCTCTGTGGGCGCAGCAATGGTCCGAAGTCCAGCGTTGGCTCCGCAAGGTGTTCTGTCCAGCTCATGATTTCCTTTCTCCAATGACTGTGGTCGGCTTTTTGTGGCTCACAAAATAAAAAAAATTCTGCCTTTTCATCCCCTCTCCAGGCCAACCTCAGCAGGCCGTGACCCAGATGGGCCGCGGGCACCCTGCAGCCACGGCTGTGCCTGGTTCTACACCTGTGCAGACGGCGGCAAATCAGAGAGCAGCACCTTGTCCTGCACCGTCACCTCGTGCAGGCACCACGGCTCCTGGACAGCCCCCTGTAGCTCCCCCGCAGGCCAACAGACCGCAACAGGGTCAAGTCAAACTAACTATGGCACAGCTCATGCAGCTAACACAGGGCGCTCAGGTGAGGGACACGCTTTAACTTCTTTTCATCCCAATAATACACAAAATTATTTTTCTCTCCCTCGGTGAATATGGGGAATATATTTAATTCTTTTAATTAGTTAGTAAGTAAAATGTTTTTGAATGTACGTTATATACTTCTCACAAACTCTACCTCTCACAACCAAGTTATAATTATTATGTTATTGTTAGCTGAAGGTTAAATTCCTTTTGTTGTCATCTCTGCAGGGTGGAAACCCAGGTCTGACAGTGGTGATCCAGGGTCAGGGCCAGACCCAGGGCCAGCTGCAAATCATCCCACAGGGAGTAACGGTCATCCCTGGCCCTGGTCAGCAGTTAATGCAGGCGGCCATGCCTAATGGCCAGGTCCAGCGCTTCCTTTTCACTCCCATGCCCCCGTCCCCAGCGGCTTCAACGTCAGCACCCAGCATTGCGAGCCCTACAAAGCCCGCCATATCTCAGACCCCTCAAACCCAAATGTCACCTCCGGTTCAAGCCAGAACCGCTGCGCAGGTCCAGACGACTCCCTCAGGCTTAGCCCAAACGCAAATGGCAGCCCCTCTACCTGCCCCAACACAAATGCCAAGTTTGGCCCCCGCCCCGCCTTCGATTCCCATGCAAACACAAGTTGCAGCCCCTGTGCCCGCTCCGGCACAAGCTGCAGCCCAGTCACAGGTTTCAGTTGCTACCCCATCACCCATCCCTGCACAGTCGCAAATATCCACTCCTGTGCCTGCGCTGCCGCAAGCTGCAGCCCAGGTCTCCACCCAGGTTTTATCCTCCTTACCAGCTCCTATCCTCGCACAACCCCACATGGCGAGATCAGTGCCTGCCCTGGCACAAAATGCAGTACCAGCTATGACTCAGAAAGTCTTCGCCTCAGCCCCTGCACAAAACCAAACTGACGTCCAAGCCATGGTCCAATCCCAAGTCTCCACCCTCGCCCCAGGCTCATTCGCTACACCAACACAAACTGCAGTGTCGCTACCTGTCTCGGGACAAGTTGCACCCCAGGTCCAGGCCCACGCCCTCAGCTCTTCCCCAGGCTTATCCTCAGCCCCTGTCCAGATGCATGTTACTGCCCCCGCCCCCGCTGTAGCGCCTGTCTCAGTCAAGACTGCCCAAGTTGCCGCAGCTACAGCAGCCGCTACTAACCTACCCCAAATGCAAGCCTCTGCCTCTCTTCCCTCTGCAGTCCCAGTTCCAACCCCTGCTCTTGCTCCTGTCTCTGCCCCCGTCATAGCCGTCGTGTCCACCCATATCGCTGTCCCATCCCCAGCCAAAGCTCTAACCCAAATCCAAGCCACGGCTCCGGTTCCCCTTCATGCTGCTGTGGCCAGTGCAGTTGTCACACCAGTCACAGCCACCTCTACAACACCTTCAGTGCCAGGTAAAGGACCCACCACAACCCACCATAACCACAGTACCATCCTGCTATATTCTGTCGGTTTACAATGTGTACAGTTTACAATACTATGGTTGAATTTTGACTTTAAAAATGGTTGAATTTAATGAATGGCACCTCTTCACGTCTCTTCTTCTTCTGTAGCTCTGACAGAGCAGAGGGCAGCTGAGCCCCAGGTTTGGACTCCAGCCGCATCTCAAGCTCAGACTCCAGTTCAACCAGCTCAGCAGGCTGCAGCCCCCATTCAGGCTCCTGTCCTGGCCACTGTACCTGCCTCTGCCCCTGCATCTGTCTCCACACATTCACCTGTTACCCCTCTGCCTCAAGCGTCTCTTACTCCTCAGTCTCAAGCACAAGTCCAGCACCCTGCTGTGGTGTCCGTGCAGCAGGTGCCTCAATTGCCGGTCTCAGCAGTGCAGGTTCACATGAAGGGACTACCGGTCTCTTCTGTCGTGACGACTGTGAGACCCTCCCAGCCTCAGCTCCAGCCCCAAACCGGTACTCAACTACAACCCCAGCCTCAAGCCCAGATCCGTGCACAGATTCAGGTCCAGCCCTTTGGCCAAGTCCAGCAACTGCCACACATTCAGGCTCAAGCGCATCTCCAGTCCCAAGCACAAGCCCAAATCCACCCCCAGGTCCGAGTTCAGTTTCAGCCGCGGGCCCCCCAAGCCCAAGTGCAGCCCCTCGCTCAAATCCAACCTCAGGTTCAGTTTCAGTCCCAAAACCAAACCTTGCCCCAGGTTCAGGCCCCAGCCCACGCCCAACTCCAGTCAAGGGTCCAACCTCAGTACCACCCCCAGGTACAAGCTTCATTTCAAACACAGGCGCAAACCCAACCCCAGGCTCAGCAACAGCCTCAGGTCCAACCTCAGCCCCAGGTTCAGTCCCAGCCTCAGGTTCAGTCTCAGGCCCAAACACAACTCCATCCCCACGTTCAGGTCCAGTTCCAGCAACAGAGCCAGATTCAGCCTCAGGCCCCGCAGCAACCCCAGGTCCAAACTCAAGTCCAAACCCAGCCCCAGTTTCAAGTCCAGTCACCGCAGCAGACCCAGGTCCAGCAACAGCTTCAGGTCCAAGCCCAACCCCAAGTCCAAGCTAAGCTCCAAGTCCAGTTCCAGCCTCAGAACCAAAACCAAGTTCAAACACAGCCTCAGCTTCAGGTCCAGTCTCCAATCAGACATCAGCTCATCACTGTTCCCGGCCTGCAACAGCCAGTCCAGCTGCTGTCAGCCCTGCCACCCCACGTGGCAGCCCAGATCCAAGCCCAGATCCAGGCACAGGCACAGCAGCAGGGTGGCACAGTCCCACAGCAGATCAAACTGCAGCTGCCTATCCAGATCCAGCAGACAGGGGGGCAGATTCAGGCCCACCAGATCCAGAACATGGTGACCATACAGGCACCAGCAAGCGTCCAGGAGCAGCTTCAGAGAATGCAGCAGCAACAGCAGCAGCAGCAACAACAACAACAGCAACAACTGCAACAACAACCACAACAGCAGCAGCAACAACAACAACAACCACAACCAAAGAAGAAGAAACACCACGAGGCTAAAAGGGAACACAAAGATCAGAATCTGCAGACTGTTAGTCCCGGGGATGGCATCCAGAAACAGGTGAGACACAGAGCAATTCACAAGGATTCCTTTCTCACAGCATCTAGATTCTGTAGATATTAACGCAATGTTGTTTTTGTTGTCAGGCGGTCGTGAAGCAGAATGCCACAGCAGAGCAGCTGAAACAGAGGAAGACCCTGGCTGCAGCGGAGAGAGAGGAGAACCAGAGGTCTGCATCTTTGTCAAATATGATTGTACTGGCTGCATTGGCCTCCACTCTTGTAGTATCAAAGCTAGAAATAAAAGTCCATGTATTCTAATGTGCAAGCCACCCCATAAATGCACCACCGACTGAACCGAAATGAATGTATCTAACGCCGCTCTGTCCTCCTTCCCTCAGAATGATTGTGTGCAACCAGGTGATGAAGTTCATTCTCGACAAGATCGAGAAGGACGAGAAGCAGGCGGCTAAGAAGAGGAAGAAGGAGGAGGTGGTGGAGCAGAAACGCTCCAAGCAGAACGCGACCAAGCTGACCGCGCTGCTGTACAAGCACAAAGAGCAGCTGAAGGCTGAGATCCTGAAGAAGAGGGCGCTGCTGGACAAGGAGCTGCAGCTGCAAGTACAGGTTAGCACATGTTCTGCCTTCACTCATCTGTGTTAGTCGAAGTTTAAAATACATTAAGCAGGATGCTACACGTGAGCGTTACATGTCTTGTCTCCCTCTCAGGAGGAGCTGAGGCGGGACATAGCCAGGCTACAGAAAGAAAAGGAGAAGGCCCGAGCTGCTATCACCCAAGCTGCTGCAGCGACAGTCAAGGCGGCTTCTTCCCACTCCTCCCATCCTTCTCACTCCACACATTCCTCTCACAGTGCCCACGCAGTGACCTCACCTTCCTCATCCCATAAACGCAAGAGGGAAGAAGAGAGGGACAAAGACAGAAACAGAGACAGGGACAGGCATCACGACAAGGACAAGAAACGGGACAGGGACAAGGACAGAGACCGATACAGAGACAGAGATAAAGACCGAGACCGGGATCGAGAGAGGGAGAGAAACCGAGAGCGGGACAGACATCGGGACAGGGACAGAGACCGGGACCGAGACAAGGACAGAGATTCCAGCTCATCAAAACACAAGAAGAAGAAGAAGCTCTCTTCTACCTCAAAGGATCACAAGAAGGACACCAAACTGTACTGTATCTGCAAAACACCCTACGACGAGTCCAAGTAAGCTCTGTCTTCACTGCACCGCTGTAATGCACACACGATTCCAATGAGACAAAAATCCCAATCATGTTTTTCCCCCTCAGGTTTTACATAGGGTGCGACCTGTGCTCCAACTGGTTTCATGGCGCGTGTGTCGGCATCACAGAGAAGGAGGCCAAGAAGTTGGAGGACTTTGTGTGTAACGACTGTAAACGTGGCCAGGAGGGAGGAAGCAACGAGGAGCTGTACTGCATCTGCCGGACACCATATGACGAATCACAGTATGGCTGCACAATGCATAACTCGTCATCAGCTTTAAGTGTTCACATTCACAATTTGTGGTCAGATCTAAGCCCACTAATCATGCAAACAGTGTCGGAAACCCGATCTCTCAGAATCCATTGTCCCATTCATTCTTGTTCGTTGGTGTCCTAACCAGGGTGCGTCCCATTTCCTCCCTCCCCCTCCCCACAGGTTTTACATAGGCTGCGACCGCTGCCAGAACTGGTACCACGGGCGCTGTGTGGGCATCCTGCAGAGCGAGGCCAACCACATCGACGTATACGTGTGCCCGCAGTGTCAGTCCACAGAAGACGCCATGACAGTCCTCACGCCGCTCACTGACAAAGACTATGAAGGGTTGAAAAGAATATTACGCTCGTTACAGGTATGACACCTATGTATGTCTGACTGAGCTTCACTGTGCAGGATGATCTAAGTGCTGAGTTTGACACTAGAACATTAATCAGATGAAGAGGAAAAGCTTCTCACCTTAAATCTTGAACAAGCTATTTGTATGTTTTGCTATCGCTACATCGCCAACGTTAGCATTAGTTAAAACAATGTACAGTAACAGCAACTGCAATATAAACGCAGTGTCTGTCCAGCTTCACACAAGTGTGATGTGAAACTGTGAAAACCTGCAGCGAACATCCACAGTGGAGGAACTTCTCAGTCAGGTTGGAGACATCTTGTGTTTAGTTTCTGTATTTTTCAATGAGGGAGAAAGAGTAGATGTCATTTTAATAATTTCCAGTTTTAACTTTTTTTTTGTGGAAAACCCACATTAGACACAAATATTTATTTATTTATGTTTAAAGATGATCAAATAAAAAGTAAAGTATATAACAATAGAAACTATACATTGACACGGTCGATATCAAACCGTCACCTGTAATATTTCATGTTGAACTGCCTTTTTTTTTTTTTTTAAATACAGGCCATTGTTCATGTTCGTGATTTTTAAAAATGATAAAAATCTTTTCTTGTTATTTCGACAGTCTCACAAAATGGCATGGCCTTTCCTTGAACCAGTGGATCCCCACGATGCACCTGATTATTATCGCGTGATAAAGGAGCCAATGGGTAAGAACCAATGATCGCAGCTGTTCTCGAGTGGCTGCTTCTTACAGTGGAAAATGTCCAATGTGTCTTACTTCCCATTGTGGAAGGTACGAGTTGTTAATTTCCCCAGAGTGACGAAACGATCCAGATAAAATCCATACTGTGTATTTCATGATATTTTGTGCACATTCTTCTCACTCTTGACGCGTTGCTCCATCCCTCCCAGACTTCTCCACGATGGAAACCCGTTTGCAAAAGCGACATTACCACAAGCTGACGGAGTTCGTGGCCGACGTGACCAAAATCTTCGACAACTGCCGCTATTACAACCCCAACGATACGCCCTTCTTTCAGTGTGCCGAGGTGCTGGAAGCCTTCTTTGTACAGAAGCTCAAAGGTTTCAAAGCGAGCAGGTAAGGTTGAGTGCTCCTGCTCCCACTCTGAAGGTTCCCAGGTTTCTCTCTTCTTCTCCATGCTTATGTTTGCGTTCTGTAATCTTTTGACTCAGGCCACATTGGCTGTCACATCAGTTTCATTTATTCTTTTTTTTTTTTTTTTTCTTAATTTTTTGCAATTTATGCCTGCCACTCACTTTTTTTAGTTGTGTTTGTAGCACTGGCATGTCTGTAGTGATGGTATTTGGCAGTAGAATGTGCTTTACTTGTAGAGTAGAGTCGGCTTTAAACAGTCACATGGTTTTAATGGTTGCCTGGCCGCACTAAAACCAACAGAGCTTGACGACCCTTAAGACATTATGTCCGATGTCTTAACGAACCGTAGTGCCGTGTGACATCTGTATCGTGTATCATCTTGCATTTGTGTCTGTTCACCTTTTCTGCATGCCTTTGATTTATGCCATCCCATTTTCTTCTTTCTTACAGATTGTCAGATTCTTAAGTGGGCCAGTCTAGCTGGAGTCTGGACTGGATGCTGGGGTTTCTAGTAATAATGACACGGGAACGTTCTGTTTCCAGAAAATCTAAAAAAAAAAAAAAAACCATTAATAAAGAAAAATACAAACAAAAAAAACAAGAACACAAGAACACACACTTAAACACCAAATGTGCTTATCATGTAAATGTCACACAATTTGAAGTTTTCAACAACAATATTTTTGGTAATAATCACAAAATAGCAGCCATGTTGAAAAGTGTTAATCATGTAATTGAGGGACATCCTTTGTTCTGATCAGGATATTGGCCTTTTTGAACAATCCATCACAATATCTAGGTTGTTTTAAACACATTTTAGTTCTGAACTTGTATTTATTTTCTGCTATACATCTGAGTTGGATTGGATATGTTGAGAATGATGACCTTACCAGATATATAAGAATATATAAAGTTGCATATTTTATTATAAGAGAGATATTTATGAGACGTTTTGTATGTTTCTCCACCTGGAGTTTGACTTAGCTGGTTGTGTTGAGTGTACATACGTTTTATCTTGTACAATGGTTGTAAGATATATCTGACTTTGAATGTTTGGATGTTTTAAATAATTATGAAGCAAACCATTTTAGATCGTATTGTTTTAGAAGACCAAAATGTACCACGAAGAATCAGGAATTTGACCTCATCTTGTTCCTCACTTAATAATGTAACCTCAGTTTTGTAGTTGTGGAAGATTTCTTCAGTAATAAAGGCATTCCCAATAAAATTACACCAACATGGCTGCAGGATCCTCTGCCTACACTTCCGCGTTCTCCGTGTCTGTTTCTTGAGATGTCACGACAATAAACAAAATGTGAAGGGCTCTCAATTTTCCCCTCTCTCCGCATTCTGTAGGTCTCATAACAACAAGCTACAGTCTTCTTCAGCCTCTTAGAAAGCATCGCACATTGCTCAAACAAAATGCACTTGCCAAGAATATGGCTTTTCTGAACTGTAACTCTGTGACGGACTCTGCCTCAGCCTGTGTTTGGGATCTGCTCCTCTGACTGTTGGTGCACCCGGCACTGCTGCTTTCACTGAACTGTTGAGGCAGAGCTGCCCTCTGCCCATTTCAGCTCTAAGGGACCTTTTTGGACCTTCATCAGTGGGACTGTACTGAGGAGCGTGAACAACTGAGGCATTTCAGAAGAAAGTTTACCTCGGAGAAAAGACTCTTAAAGGAGCTCTCATATTTCCATGTACTTTATTTTTTTGATCTCAGTCTTTTTATTTTTATTTTTTTTTTCTTGTTAAAAATCCCTCAGGCCATCCTTGTGGTCATCATGTCCAAGAAATAGGAAGCTGAATACTGACTGTACAACGGCTGAGTTTTACTGAGCATAATGTATCAAGAGTTTTGTGTCTAAATTCAGATATCATGGTGGAACAACTTTTTTTCTCCCATTTCCACTCATTGTTTAGTCTGAAGTGGCATGAAAGACAGTTGTACTAAATATCTGGACATCAGTAGTCTGCTTGGTTAAACTTCTATAACCTACTTAAAGTATGGTAATAAGCTATTGTAAATGAATTGCTCTGCAGTAGTGACTGACTGAGAAGGATGAAACCGTGTATTTGAAGGTTCCTGCCCTGTTTGTAAAAATTTGTCAGATTTTGACTTGATTCCTTTTTCTTTTTTTTGTATTACAGCTGAAGAAATATTGATGTATATGGAACTTAATAAAATGGAAAAGACTGATTTATTCCTCTTGTGTATTTGTGGCAGACATCTCAAAATGTTGAGCGTGTCAGAAGGGTCTGCATGTACATAGCAGCTCAAGAGTTGTAATATAAGGCAGGGACAGTATAAATATAGATCAAATAAATCATAATAAAAGGTAAAGAATTGATGAAACCTGAAATTTGCAATAGAATAGCTGTCAGTACAGTGATTTATGTTTAAATGAGACTATATAAAATTTTCCATATCAAATGAGAAATGATTAGTCTATTAATCAATTAGTCAACTGACACAAAATGAAATTAAAATTAAATGAATCTAACAATTTTTGATAAACTAATTGTCAAAGTAAAAATGCCCCGTGCCTTTTAAAAAAAAAGATATATAAGGACACTACCTTGGGCTTAAGCAATCTTTTTCACTTTTTTTTTTATTTAGTCTATTAAAAAATATATCTATAGTTGGTTGAAGTTAAGTTTTGATTTATAAATATTATTTCCTTGAAAGACAAATAGGTTTTACGTAATTAAAGACCATAAAGTTAAAACCATGTGTTCAGAAAAATAAAAGGCCATTTGCTAAAGCAACTACTAAGAAACAAATTTTATAAAAATCATTTTAGATTTTTAAAATGAGCATGAAGAAGAGTTGTTTACTTAGATTTGAGACGTGTGTGAACTGTAGACATGCCATCACACTGGAGCCACAATACACTGATCCGGGAACAATTCATCCATCCTAACGTACAGTGAAAAAGTCACAGACACGGCAAAAAAAACTGATCCAGAGTCAGCGTAGTATTTTTTTACGGACATTCTCGCGATGTTAATGTCGAGTGACGACATTTCCTGTGCGCTCCGTGATTTTTTCAAACAGCCCAATGAGCGCACGCGGCCGGATGCTTTCGCTCGAACAGCCCAATCAGGAAGCTTTGTTGTAGGAATTTAAAGGTCTGTGCGGCACTTTCCTTGTACCACAACTTCTGTTCCAGCGAAAGGTAAGAACGTGCTAACTGCATAGTAAGCTATATTAAAATGAATTTAAATTTTCCTTGTTTTAATGTGTGTCGCGTGCTATATTAACAACTTTAGCTAGCTCGCAGTAAGCCTATGTTAATGGATAGTGGACGGTCTGCTTAGTTTGACGTGTTTGTCATTCGCCTTGCTACAGTATCACGAGGCAGCTCAAAGTATATCGGCTAATTTATCTTATTTCTTTTTAGGAATAATCCCACAAAACTTGATTTTTTTTTCACTGCTGCTGCTTCCTGTCACTTGAAAATGTCTGAGAACCTCGCTCGTCTGAACCAGTTCAAGAACAAAGGCAGAGATGCTAGTGTGAGTTTTTTTTAAAAATTTTTTATCCAAGTTGCATTATCCTCAGGTGTTGGCTCAAGAGTTGTGGTTATAAATGCGGGATTCGTTTTCGTTTGAAATAAATGCAGGAGCTTCGACGCAGGAGAGTGGAGGTGAACGTGGAGCTCCGCAAGGCCAAGAAAGATGACCAGATGTTCAAGAGAAGAAATGTGGCCGCATTTCCTGACGAGGCGACGTCTCCTCTTCAAGAGAGAACCCAAAACTGTCAGGTATACTTTTTTAAAAAAGCATTATTTTAAACCTAGGAGATGTTTACTCTGTCCCCCCCATTAAACACGAATTCAATGCTATCTATATCCACGAAATGGATACTGTCCTGGACATCATCACTAACAAAAGAACACTACTATAATCCAATATCCACAAATGTAGTACTGTGAAGTAGAGTTTGTTTACCTGGTGTTGACTGAATTTAAATGTTTGGACTCCACCATGATCCAGTAAGTAAGAGAACCCAGTGTAAAATAAACCCCACAATATTTAGTCTCAAATTGCAACACTTCCTTTTATGATAATCAACAACAGTTAAACACTCTTAAAACTGGCAGGGTTATTGCAATACTTTGCTTTGTTGTGTTTAGCCATTTATGTTGTGTGTCCCATAATACATTTCTAATGGTATGTAACAATTTACAGGCTGCCAGGCACTGGACAGTCGAAGAGATCGTGGCAGGAGTGAACAGTGGCAACACTGAGTCCCAACTCCAGGCTACACAGGCTGCACGGTAATGACAATTCATTAAAGAACATTGTACATTGAGCTTTACTGGACATTCAAAAACGACTAACTGCTGCCACAATGACTCACTTTTACTGTATTGTCCTGAATGCAGGAAACTGCTCTCTCGCGACAAACATCCTCCCATTGACCAGCTGATCAGTGCCGGTCTGATCCCCAAGTTTGTCGCGTTCCTGGGGCTGATAGACTGTCCCCCAATCCAGTTTGAAGCTTCCTGGGCTCTGACCAACATTGCCTCTGGGACATCTGAACAGACAGCTGCTGTCGTGGAGGGCGGGGCCATTCCTGCCTTCATAAGCCTGGTGACATCCCTCCACCAGCATATCAGCGAGCAAGCAGTCTGGGCCCTTGGAAACATTGCTGGTAATTGACAGAGTATATTTTTGTCTTTAAGGATGGTTGTGACTATTTGATTAGAAGCAAAGGTCATTCTCTCTCTTTTCCCCGTTTAGGTGATGGATCAGCTCTTAGAGACAGGGTCATCAAGCATGGAGCTGTGGCCCCTCTGCTCAGTCTGCTGGCAGTCCCTGACCTGTCTGTGTTTACTGTAAGTGTTTTGTATAAAACTATAAAAGTTTGTTTTGTTTTTGTTTGTTTTTTGCGTCATGTAATATCTGATATTTTCTTAAATGGTCAAATTCAAATTGCTCACCTAACCTGCATTTATTCTTCTCATTGACCACTAGGGGGCGCCCCAAGTTAACTAAATCCTGCTCGATGTCAAACTGATTCCTTCCCTTTTTCTCTTGCTTGATTGCTTTGCAGACCAGCTACGTGAGAAATGTCACATGGACACTGTCGAACCTCTGCCGCAACAAGAACCCCTCCCCACCTATGGCTGCAATCCAACAGATCTTACCCGCTCTCATTCGTCTGCTACACCACGATGACCTGGAGGTGTTGGCTGACGCGTGTTGGGCTGTGTCATACCTGACAGATGGCGCAAATGACCGCATTGAGGTGGTGGTCCAAGCTGGCGTAATTCCCCGCCTGGTGAAGCTGCTTGGCTTTGATGAGCTGCCCGTTGTTGTACGTATGAAGTCTCACTCGTGTTAGTGCTTCTTGTGTGGAGCCTCTGTGCATAACTCATGTAGTCTGACACACCAGCAATTCCTTGGGTTCTCCCAGGTTTTAAAAATAACCTTTCACCCCTTCCCCAGACCCCTGCGCTGCGTGCCATTGGCAACATTGTGACCGGTACAGATGAGCAGACTCAGGCCGTACTTGATGCCGGGGCCCTGAACATGTTCTCCCGACTGCTGCGCCACAAAAAAGCCAACATCCAGAAAGAGGCAGCCTGGACTGTGTCCAACATCACTGCAGGGAGGGACACCCAAATCCAGGAGGTCATCAATTCAGGCCTCGTCCCATACTTGATCGATACGCTTGCACGGGTATGTTTTTATTGGTCGGATTTGTTTTACTGGTGGGGGCAAAAATATATATTTTCACTTTTACCACACTATTGTCAGTCAGATGCCTTTTTTTTTATTGACTTTCCAAGTCATGTTTATCTTTTTCTCTCTCTCTCTCTCTCTCTCTGCAGGGTGACTACAAAACTCAGAAAGAGGCTGTGTGGGCTGTTACAAACTTCACCAGCGGGGGCACTGTTCAGCAGGTGATTTACCTTGTTCAAGCCAATGTGATTGAGCCTCTTCTGAATCTACTCTCCACTAAGGACAGCAAAACTATCCTCGTCATCTTGGATGCCATTACCAATATCTTCATGGTGAGTGCATTGTCATGGTAATTAAAAAAGATGTGTGTTAATTGCAATTTTTCCTGATTTTGTCAGTTGAGCTGGCAGGATGGCTGTGAAATACTTGCGCTGATGTGTGTTTTCCTGTCAGGCTGGGGATAAAATTGGGGAGTCGGACAAGCTGAGTCTAATGATCGAAGAATGCGGTGGACTGGACAAGATTGAGGCGCTGCAGTCTCACGAGAATGAGATGGTGTACAAAGCAGCCCTTAACCTGATTGAGAAATACTTCTCTGAAGAGGTAAGTCTCCCTTTAAGATTTTTGAACTGATTTTAGAATGAACTTTTCTCCCATGACCATGAGTGGGCTTACCGTTTTTATGTTCTTTTTTTAAAGGAGGAGGTGGTGCAGTCGGTGGCCCCAGAAACAACCACTGATGGTTATGCATTCCAGATCAATGAAAACCAAAGCACTTTCAATTTCTAGATACTGTTCTAATACCTCTTCTCTCGGCTCTACTGTACTCTCATTACCACTGTTTGTCTTTTGTTCATGTAATTGTTTGTTGAGTTCTGCTCTTTCTCTTGTACGTACTGTACATACTGTTTTAATGTGACTGAAAAAATCTAGATTGTAAATAAAGTTATCGGATCATGTGTGGGGTTTTATTTTATCATGACCACTGATATCACACCAGTGCTGTGGTTTGTTATGACTCACAGCGGAAGACGGTAGTGTTACTGTAAATGGTGCATTTACAGTGACTACAGTTACAAGTAGTTTACAATGCTTGGCCATGAATTCCACCATGTTCCTCGCAATGGTGAAAGTCTTAATAATTACTCTTAAGATCTTTTTATATTTATTTATTTATACATATAAAGTGTGGTCCAAAAAGTTTCAAAAGTCTGAGACCATTTGGGAAAGTGATCTCAGACTTTTGAAACTTTTTTTTTTTTTTGTTCTTGATAAATGTATGTACTAACACAAGTTCTGCTATGTGACAAGTTAAAGATGAACACTAGTACTGTCTTTTTATTTATTTATTTGTCTGGCTAACTAACTGGAGTTTATACTCAACCCAATCTGGTTCAAATCCACTTCTCCAAAATGAAACCTAGCAGCCATGTATTGAGCCTTAATCTCTGAATTCTGACTTTTTTTTCTCCACATCCTGACTTTAAACTCTGAATTTTGACTTTAAACTGAATTGTGACTTTAAACCCTGAATTCTGACTTTTTTTCTCTTAATTTTGACTTTAAACTCTGAATTGACTGTTTAAAAAAAAAAAAAAGAAAAAGTCACATGTGCGATCCTCTTCCTTAACCCTCCTCTTCCTCATAAATGAAGTAAATATGATGGTGGAAGGGGGCCTACAGCTCTATTGATTGCAGCTACCCGCCTGTAAAAAGTCATAAATTGACATAGACTCGGGGAGCTGTATTTATTTATCCCATCAAAGTAAAAACCCGAGGATCAGGACACATCACCGAGGACACACTGGGACTTGTGTGTGTGTGTGTGTGTGTGCGCGCGCGCGCGTGTGAATTACAGTTAGGTGCCACATGTTGGAGAAATGTTTCACTCCCCCCAATGTGTGCTGTCGTCACTGGTCAGCTCCTACCAGCAGCCTCCTGAGGTGGGATCTAAAACTGGAGGGCTCCACAGTTCAACTCTCGCCGAGCGGAGAGGAGGACTCAGTCCGAGGCAGAGGCTCCTTCCGAAGATGTGAAGATAAACGCCGCGTTACAGCGCCGCAGCTCCGCACAGCAGCCCGTTCAGACGTTTCACCGGGGACAAGTCATTTTTTTTTTTTTTTTTTTTTTTTTTTTAAATAGTAAATGCACTTTGCAGCAGTGCTACACTCGCGATTTTCTTTTCTCTTTTTTATTTTTTTTTCTCGCATTTGTGAGCGATCGCTATGGCAATTCAGTCCACATCCGGGCCACAATGCCTTGACTCCATTATTGTCTAAAAACTGGCGGAGTGGTTGATAAACCTTGTTATATTTCACATTTAGCGACACATTTTTATTCCGTGCAGTGAAGTCTGGAACCAAGAGGAGATGTCTAACCAAGGAGTTCGGCGGAATGGCCCGGTGAAGCTGCGACTAACAGGTAGCTAGCAATGCTTTTAAATCCCCAAGTATATTCCCCCACACACTAGCTAGGAAGGCTCGGTGTATTTGTTGGATGGGAACAGTTCCCATGGGCCATGGAGTTGGCTTGCCGCCGGTTCCTTTTTCCTGTGATTTTTACGATTTTGAGAACAGCTATATTGTATTTAAAATATGTGTTTTTTTCCAGAGTATTAGCTAACAGTGGGAAACTGGCCCGGTAGACCAGTAGATAAGGCTGAATTTGGATATTACTGTTCTTGGAAATAGACACAACCTTGTGATTGTCGCCAGCAACCACCACCAGCCATAACACGGGTCCCGGAGTAACGTAGCTGTGCGTTGTGTTGCCCTGCCATTGAGTTGGTTGTGGGTTCAAGAAAAACCGATATGAGGGTCTATGTTTTACACGTCTTCTCAACCTATCCTATAAATGTAAATATTTGCAGTGCAGGAGTGTTTCCAAACACTGCTCACAAACTGCTCTGCTGACAAGACGGGGCTCACGTAAAGTTGGCTAGCTGACGTTAGCCTAGCCACACAAGGCTGCCAGTTGGCTATAATCAAGCCTTTATGCCAGAACAAACCTCGGTTGAGATGACAGGCAGCTCCACAGGTCACAAGAGTCTGCAACTGCCACTGAACAGTGAGCAGTGTCCCTTAACTGCTTTCCCCCGACAGACAGCTGCCTCCTTTGTTTGTTACTGGCGTTAAAACAGGTCACCATTAAGTTGTATCCATGCAGTATTAGTTCAGCCTCAACTAATGAGCGCTTCATACATTCTCCACTGTGAAACACTTGAAGCTGGGTCTTTTTCAGCCTGAGTAATTTGTTGTTAAGTAACATACAGTTGTGCAGGTCTGTTTGGACACAGCCACCACCACCACCACCACCACTACCCCACCCCACTCCTCTCCATCTCTCCCTGAGCTGTTTGGTTTGTGCCTTTTCAACATAAACAGCAAAAAAAAAAAAGGTTTACATGAGTGCACACTGTTTTGACTGGGAGACGCGCCTGACAGCTGCCACCTTTGATGTACATCCAGGATCTGACCTGAATCAAATTCCGGGGCCGTCTATTTCTATCAGGATGGGCCAAATTAAATATTTAAGCTGGTGCAGTTTCTGATAGGAATAAGTGGAGACAAGAGGGAGGGATCTCAATGAGAAGGATTTAATGAGCTGCGGATGCAAGGTGGCCAAGGACAGCAAGCCTTCGGCAAACATTTTACACAGGTGTTGTATATCATCCATGGTTCAACACGTAATGAGAAGGGGTTTGAGCAAAGATTAAATATCCATCGTTCATAAAATGATATATATGATAAGGGCATGTAGACACCTTTGACATCGGGCACTTTTAGCTTACTTTCCTTCCGTAATAGTTCTTGCAGAGGAAATTTTTTCTCAGACTTGTTTAGAGCATTTTGCAGTGTAACATTTGAATTGTTGTGACAGTTTGAATTGTGTTCACCATGAAATAACCTTTTTATAAAGACACGAACCTGTTGCAGACAAACAAGTCATTGTAGCGCAGCATCAGGTTGCTAGTTCTTGACGCTGGGTAAAATTTCCAGCCCGCTGACCTTACTTTATTTATCGTCCGCTGATATCCCTCAGAGACGTGTCACCACGAAAATCTGTCTGTATGTGACTTTTGTTGTGAAATCTAGACGCGTCCATTAGGTCGTGAATTAGTTTGTCACCGCGGTTTTGAGATGGACCGCAGTGGTCTCCTGGTGGAATGCTAAGAATGCGAGTTCACTGTGAAAAATGGCGAGAGCAGGAACTTGCAGACCACCTCTCCTCCTGATGCTGAGTGACACTGTACACCCCTCCCAGACCAAATATAATCCCTGTTAGGGAACAATAGAAATCCATCACTCCATTAAAAACTTCCAACTTGTTCACGATTCAATCTGAATGTCTTTCAGTGCACGTTTTTTAAATTAATTTTTCCAGAATCAGAATTATGTAATATCGTGCCATGCCATCCACATGGTCAGCTCTCTCCTGTAGCTGAGCTCAGTGCGTCCAGCTTGGAAAACAGTGCGAAGCAGAGCTCGGAGCTGGAGAGGAAGCTCTATAGTAAAGGCAGCCGCCTGGCGGTCGAGCCCAAATGCTCCCTTTTAACATAGAGGCTTCACTACATACTCTCATTACGTGTTTCTTTGTGTAGCGCTGCACAGCTGTGTATACTAGGTTGATTATATTGCTGCTTAGGGAGTAACGGGGCCCAGAGAGTGTCATTGCGACATTGTAGTTGCATGTTGTCATCTGTAGTCGAGCTGAATTTTGACACATAGCTGCCGATGAATTTGTTTCCAGGCAGGTTGTGAATGATGAGTTGCTACATTTAAACAGGCCTGTAGCTGTTTGTGCTGTAGGCGTCTCTCCTTGCTGACAACCCCCCTGTCCATTTGAACCAGATGTTGCAGATGTTTGCCAGCTATTAAACTGGAAAAATATGGCAAGCAAGCTGCTAAAACTAACACTTGGGGTGAGAATTGCCCCCTGACTACACGGGACAGGTTTCCATTATACTCCTACAGCTGATCACTCCTAAATTATGTGACACACAAACACAGATAATGGCATTACATGCATGATCCACCGAGTCATAAATTACATCATTAAGTCATGGCTCATTGCTCGGTCTGATCATTCTTAAATTCTGTCATGCAGACATAGCTCATGGCATAATTTGCACCACTTTTCCATGCAGCCGTAAATTTGATGACATGCAGCTGAACGCAAAGTCACAGAGTTCCCTCTGATGCGATTGAGACAGAAAAGAGATTGCGTCTGTCCGATTCGTCACAAACTGTAATCACACATCGCATAGTCAACGATGCTCCGTCTTTGCCTTTTTTTTTTTTTTGAATGCATTTTCTTCCCAGAGAGACGTGAAGCAGCGCAATAAACGAAGTGCTGTTTGTTTGATATTCTGGTCTGATTCAGATTCTTGACGTTTATTGCCGTTTTTTTGTCTTAGCTGCGAGTTTACATATGACTTGTTAAAGCATATGGTTTGCTCATCTGAATTCTTTGGCGCGCGGCAGACTAGCGAAGAGAGCTATCTCAGTGGGATTCCCTAGAATTCTCCATTCGCATTCCCACCTCTTCCTCTCTGAGTCACTCCTGTTCTTTCCGACTGTAAGCTTCTTCCCCCTCAGACCAAGTCCAAAGCATATTTCACTCCCACCCTTACTAACTGAGCTTCCTCCGTGCTTTCTGATCCTCTGTTTGTGTGATGCTCTCTCTCTCTGTAGGTGTAGCTTTTGCATCTTTTCATTTCACTGCAAACGATCAGGATTTGACAGTGCTGCGGCCGGCTCCACTGATAGAGACAGAGTTGTATTATTTGCGGATAAAATTGTTGGAAAACTTCCCTGCTCTTCTCCCTTGTAAGACGACTGACAGTTGAATGGACACAGATGCTGCCTGAGAATCAAACAGACTTATTTTAAAGATGCGACCAAAGCCCTGGGGTTTCACACTGGCCCACTGTGTGGCTTTTGAGTGAAAGGCTAAGGTCTCGCTTTTTTTTTTTTTTTTTTTTTTTTTTTTTTCAATGGCAGCTCGGTCCGACTTTAGTCTACAGATGGGGGGGGTCTTTGGATGTTGGATAGTTGAAGAAGAAAGCCCCACAGCTGGGCACAGATGGGGCTGTGGAGGCACAGGACCTGATGATCAAGAGAGTTTTAATGTGGTCTGAGCTGGCACTTTGTACATTCATGTGGTCTCATTCAGAGCCATTTTACAGAGTGGCTGTATGGAAGTGATTTGGGTTCATCTGGGTGTTCAGACAGGATACATTGTAAATACACAGTGATTAGCTGCATGTGGTGAACTGTTGAGTCTACTGGCCCATCATGGACATGCATTTTGAGCAAACATTTCCACATTTTGCTTTAACAAGATGTAAAAGAAAACAAAATAATGGCGGCTAAAGACCAGGAAAAAAAAAAAAAAAAAAAAATGTGGTGTGGGAATCAAAAAGGGAACGTAACAAGCAATTATTGCATATCATTTGTAGACGTTTTCCTTCCCCCTGCTGAGAGCCTCCCATAATTTTAAATTGTTCCATCAATTAATTGACTGGCTGGGGTTGGCTTTCCTGTTGGTTCAGCTGCTCTTCAATGAGGACAAAGCCTTCTGCGGTTGCTTTACCCTCAACCGCCGCCAGCAAACGGCCCGGAGGAGACCAGATGTAGCAGGGGGAGAGAGAGTGGGCAGCTTCGTAGAGAGGAAGTGCTCCCCAGACCCAAACACTTGTCCAAACGTCACCCCTGACAGGTGGGGAGCAGAACAGTCCAGAAACCCCCTTTTGAGGTTCCCCTGTAACAATAAAGTGAAGAATTGCAGTCATATTACTCAGCAGGACATTAGGCGTCTTGTGTGTTGGTTGTGTCGCTGGGTGGCTTACAGCTCTATCCTGTCACTGTATTATAACAGCGTGCCATGGGTTAGATTAGTGGGCGGCATGTGTGGTTTGGGGAGACGGTCTCTTCCTGCTGAGGAGAGCATCAACACTTCAGAATGACCGCTTTGTAACATTAACAACAGATAATATTTTCCTGGATCCGCACAGCCTGTTTCATTTGGAGCCCGAAAGGACAGAGAAAGTTACCAACCATGTTCTCTGTTTATACTTGACTGTCCTACATCAGTGGTTCCCAACCAGGGCTACTTGTAGCTCAGGGGTACTCCTGCAGGGAACTGCAAGCGGGTACATACAATGACTTTTCCTCACTTTTTGATTTCAAAAATACGGTACGTCTACATATCGAGTCAGCTGTAACACCTGAACATTATGTGTTGCACCTGCCTGAAAACTAGTTCTGCTAAAAGTAATAGATAAATGGTTGAGAAACACTCAGACACATGCAGATGTACTTCTCTCAAGGTAGATCATTGTGCAGGTTTCCACCCTCCTGGTCGAGAGAAGGAAGATCGTCCTCTTTTTATTCCCTCGTCTTTGATTTATGGAGTCAATA